TATATTACTACCAAACTCACCAAACACATCAATAGTCTCCTGGTGGTCATACTACAGCAGAGAGTTTTGAAGAATATCCTTTTGAATAATTTTGGGGAATATTTATAATGTAAAATCTTCAATAAATATGGCATTATCTTGAATACCTTTACTATTATACAGTATATTTCTACCAAACTCACTATTTGCATTGTTGTTGTTAGCATCTGGTTAGCTAGCTGCGCTAAAGGATATTAGAAGCTGTTTCTAAAACAAGGAGAGGGAGAGCTCTCTCCTGTCAGACTTATAAAATAGCACTTTACCTCTGCTTACACCTATATGCCATGTTATATGCTGTGAGCTGATTATCGAGCCTTCATTGTAAGAGTCGCGGGTACACTGTGTATGTGCGTGTTCCACTGTAGCGCCCGGTACATTAATGGGAAACCCTTGTTTGTACATGTTCAATACATTTGTAACACTGTACACATGAACGTTTCTTTTTTCGGTTCACCAAAAAAGAATCTCACTCCAAGCTGAACTCAAAGGTTGGCAGCCCTGAGTTAGCTGTATTCAGTTCGCTGTTAGTAGTAGCTGTTACTAGTTAGATGTAGTCAGTTAGCTGTTAGTAGTAGCTGTTACTAGTTAGATGTAGTCAGTTAGCTGTTAGTAGCAGCTGTTACTAGTTAGATGTAGTCAGTTAGCTGTTTGTAGTTAGCTGTAATCAGTTAGCTATTAGAAGTTAGTTGTTAGTAGTATCTCTCTGTAGTTAGCTGTATTCAGTTAGCTGTTCGTAGTTGGCTGTATTCAGTAGTAGCTGTTAGTAGTTAGCTGTATTAAGTTGTTAGTAGTAGCTGTTACTAGTTAGTTGTTAGTAGTTAACTGTATTCAATTATCTGTTAGTAGTTAGCTGTATTCAGTAGCTGTTAGTAGTAAGCTGTATTCAGTTAGTAGTTAGCTGTTAGTAGTAGCTGTTAGTAGTTAGCTGTTAGTAGTTCGCTGTATTAAGTTGTTAGTAGTAGCTGTATTCAGTTAGCTGTTAGTAGTAGCTGTTAGTCGTTAGCTGTTAGTTCTTAGCAGTTAGTTGTTGGTAGTTAACTGTATTCAGTTAGCTGTTAGTAGTAGCTGTTAGTCGTTAGCTGTTAGTTCTTAGCAGTTAGCTGTATTCAGTTAGCTGTTAGTAGTAGCTGTTAGTCGTTAGCTGTTAGTTCTTAGCAGTTAGCTGTTAGTTGTTATTTGTGAGTAGTAGCTGTTGGTTGTTAGCCGTTAGTAGTTAGCTGTATTAAGTTGTTGGTAGTAGCTGTTACTAGTTAGCTGTATTCAGTTAGCTGTTAGTAGTTATTTGTGAGTAGTAGCTGTTAGTTGTTAGCTGTTAGTAGTTAGCTGTATTAAGTTGTTGGTAGTAGCTGTTACTAGTGTAACGTCCGAGGTGTTAAGGCTTCAAGAATACTTCTGTGTAACAAGAACTCAGGAACTTAGTACTTTTTGGAGCGTCACAGATGCCTCCGTTTATTAACGTCGAGTCACACACATGTCACCACCACTCTAGCCCCGACTGCGCATGCTCACAACACATGACCTCCAACCCAATGCTTACATGCGTCCCCCCTTACTGAAAGAAATGTCCCCATTTCCACACACATGGTGAAAACACAACAAAACATAAAAAAACAATACAACCACGAAAAACCCCAAAAACATAACAAACCACACACTACCCCGCAGAATAATACATGCAGGCATGACGTACATTTGAAAAAAAAATCTTTGAATAAAAACAATGACAAACAAAACACATCCACAGCCCAAATAAAACATCAAACTAGGTATGACATAACCTATTCCCCTGTCCTGCACACTCGAAACATGAAAAAAACCAATTATGCAGCATAGAATACACAGGAGAAAATAATCACACTTGCATGTAACCACCAGTCATTCAGCCCATAACAAAGTCCAAAAATCGGACAGGAGGCCGCGCTAACCTCCCAGCCCGGGACACCGTCGGTGCGGCTTGTTCGAGCTCAGGGGAATCACCAGCCCCAGAACCCGGCCCAAGATCACAGCCACTTTCCCCATCGGAAAACCTCAAGCGTCCAGAGCTCTGTGGGGAGACTGCATCTTGCAACGGAAGAGGCTGAGAAAGGTGTAAGAGAGACCTTGATGGTCCCTCCAAGGGAAAGGCTACCGGCAGGTTGTATCGCCGTAGTCTGTCGTAATGGACAGTTTGGAGAGAGGCTTCATCCCCAAATGGGCTACTTAGTTGGTACGTGACCCCCACTTCATCACCCCTATCCATTCGCCTCTGCACCAGATAAGGCCCCTTCCAGTGGGGAGCCAGTTTACGGCGGCTCTCAGTGGGATCATTTAACCACACCAAATCCCCGACTTCATACGGGTCGTGCCTCACTCTGGCGTCATAGTACGACTTCTGTTTGCTGCTTGCAGCAAAATTGTTATCCCTTGTCTGATCAAACGCCGTGTCCAAGCGTCTGAGAAGGGAACCAGCAAAGTCTTCCCGGGGACCCTGCACCAGATCATCCCGCTTGGACCCAGTAACACATCCACAGGAGTCCTGGCCTCCCTGCCATGCGTGAGAAAATACGGCGTGAAGCCTGTGCTGGAATGTACACTGGTATTGTACGCAAATGCGACCTGTGACAGAAAAGAGTCCCACTCCCCCTCACATGATAGAAGAGATTTCGCCAACTGATCGATAAGTGTCCTATTAAACCTCTCTACCATGCCATCAGACTTCGGATTGTAAGGCGTGGTGTGCGTCTTCTTCACACCTAACACGCCGCACAAATGCCTCACAACATCTGATTCGAATTGTCTGCCCATATCAGTGTGCAGAGTTTCCATTACCCCATGCTCCAAGATGTAGTTCTGGAAGAGACACTCCGCGACCGTCGGGGCTTTTTGATCGGGGATGGCATACAGATTTACAAATTTTGTGAAATAGTCCTCAACAACCAACACATACCGGTTGCCTTTTGATGTGACCGGCAACTCCAGTATGTCAGCCGCCACCCGCTGGAAAGGTCTAACTGCATGTGAAGTTCTCATGGGGGCATGGTGTTTAGGCACCGGGGACTTCCTTCTCTGACAGGCATAACATTGGTCACACCACGAACGAATGTCACTGTGCATGGAGGCCCAATAGCACACACTTCTTGCGCGTGCCAAAACGCGATCATACGCCAGGTGAGCAGTCAGTGGAGCACCATGCAAGTGTCCCAGGACCTCTGGAACTAAGACAGCAGGAACAACAACCTGAGTAGACTGCCCTGCCTCAGACAGCCAAACAACTCTACATAAAAGTCCCTCCACAAAAGTCAGCCGGGGAAACTCATGCCAAAGTCTCTTCACACCCCGACTAGCATCTTTTAACCTCCATCTAGGGGGCCGTTGGCCATGCTCCAGCCAGGCCAAAACTTGTCCGATGTCTGCATCCTTTTGCTGGAGCTCCCTAATACCGGAGCCATCATGTGACAGAGTGAAGATTAGGGTCTGGTCCACTGAAGACCCTGAGTCAGGAGAAGGAGGTCCTGAAATCGGTCCCTGGGCTTGGGCCGTGGCAGGAGTGCCCACAGCACACACATCACTAGGACCACTGTCCCCAGCGCCAGGGAGAATTGTATTCAAGGGAGCGGATGTGGCATCGAGACTGCCTGAGTTCTCCAAAGCTTCAGTGGTGTCAGGCCTGCGTGAAAGGGCATCTGCATTTGTGTGTTTGGCCCCACTCTTGTGCACAATCATCCAGTCGTATGGGTCCAGCTCCAGAGCCCAACGGCTACGACGCCCCGTCCTGTCATTGTCAACCTGAAGTCGTCGCAGACCCAACAAAGGTTGATGATCTGTGATAATTGTGAAGGGGAGAAGACCCAAGTAATGCCTGAAATTACGCACTGCCCACACTATCGCCCACAGCTCCCTGTCGTAGGACCAACGCCGTTCAGCTGCTGTGAGGGAGCGACTAGCGTAGGCCACCACTCTCTCCAGGCCATCCACTTCTTGTGACAGCACAGCCCCCACAGCAATCTGCGAAGCATCTGTACCCAGCACGAAACTCTTGGTGAAGTCCGGGTGACACATGATAGGTTCGGCACAAAGACCATCCCGCAAAAACTCAAATGCCCCCTGGCAATCCGCCGTCCACTGAAAAGGGACATCCTTCCCTGTCAGATGGTTGAGGGGGGCAGCACGCTGGGCAAAACTCCTCACAAACCTCCTATAATAAGAGCAGAGACCCAGAAAAGCACGCACCTCTGTAGCGGACCGTGGAACTGGCCAAGTCTTCACCTTATCTGTGTTACGGGGGTCAGGACGAAGCCCCCCGGCGGAGACGACGTGACCAAGGAATACCACATGATCACGGGCAAGATGGCACTTCCTGGCGTTCAATCTAAGCCCAGCTGCCCCAATCCGAATGAAGACCTCCTCCAAAGCAGACATGTGGGCCTCAAACGAACTACTGTAAATTAGTATATCGTCAAGATACACCATGCAGATGTGCCATGGCAGCCCCCTTAACACCAGCTCCATAACCCTCTGGAAGGTAGCGGGTGCATTGGTTAGACCCATAGGCATGGATTTGAACTGGTATAGGCCCTGGCCAGTGGTGAATGCTGTCTTTTCGCGGTCCTCCTCAGCCATTTCCACCTGCCAGTAACCGTCAGAAAAGTCCAAGGTGCTGAACCAGGAGGCCCCCGCCAATGCGTCCAATGTGTCATCCACCCGTGGCAGTGGATGAGAATCCTTTATTGTCACAGAGTTGAGTCCCCTGTAATCCACGCAGAATCGCCATGTGTTGTTCTTTTTCCTGACGAGGACCACTGGGGCGGACCACGGGCTACAACTCTCTTCAATTATGTCATCCTCCAACAGGCGCTGAACCTGTCTGCCTATCTCCTTCCGTTTTTCTGGCGAAGTACGGTAGGCCCGACGCTTGACCGGGGAATGATCACCTGTCTGTATGCGGTGTTTGATCAGACCGGTGTTTCCTGTTCTGCCCTTCCCAGAGCCGAACACCCCTTGGTGTTTCCCCATCAAGGCCTGCAGCTGCAGTCTCTGTTCAGCAGACAACGGGAAACCAGCCACATCCGGCAGAGGGGTAGCCCCCTGCTGAGAGGGGAAAACCTCAGCGGGGGTGAGTAGATCACAGTCCTTAACATGGTGCAACACACCTAAATGGGAACCGGTGTGCAGCTTTAACTCCTTCTCTGTCGGGTTGAGCAGCCTTGCCACAGTGCATCCATTCTTCACCGGTGCAACTGTACGTGCAATCACAAGTCCCACGTTATCACGCACCTCAGGCTCCAGGTAGCCTAAGAAAGAGTCAATGGGCAGACCAGCAGTACGGGGAAAATTCACATTAACTGGGACAATCATTTCACTGAAAGGGGGAATAATAGCATCAACAGACATAGAGATGTAACAACATTCTGGTATGAAATCTGTGGCATGCATGAGAGGAATATCAACATCCCCCAGGTGAAGCAGACCACGACCAACATCCATAACAGCTCGAGCCTGCAACATGAAATCAAACCCCAGCAGAATAGCTTGTGTTGCCCCTCGCACTACATGCACAGCCTGCTCCCAATGTTTGCCCCCCAACTGTATGGGAAGAGTCACAGTACCCAGAGTGTCCAACAATTGACCATTTACTGTGCGTGAAAAAGTGTACTGGGTATTTAGCACACGTTTACGTAAGGCAGACGTGGACATTCTGAAGTCCTCAGAAATAAGTGAAACATTGGACCCAGAGTCAATCAAAACAGTAACATCAACACCCTCAACAAGTCCTCTAACATAGGCTGTGGGCTTAGACTCACCCACAGAACAAGAGTCCAATGCACGAGCAGGCGCTTTCCCAGCAGAATAGTCCATTTGACCCTGTAGTGGTGAAACCGGCATCTGGGTCTCGACGCCAGTCACTGGAAGTTTCCCTGCAGCCGTCCGTGTGAGGATGGAGATGGTGACCGCCGAGAGGGAGACAAAAACCTCACTCCACGCCCTGGCTGACGTTCCCCAGGGCTGTGTGGTCCTTGCGGGACATCGCTGCCCGGTCGTCGCGGTGAGAAGTCCGCAGAGGTGTCTCGGGTTCCCCGCTCACGTGGAGACCATTCCCTGGCACCAAAACCATCCTGCGGTCTGCGCTGAGGAGAACGGCCCCTGCTGCGGTCGTCCCTGTGGGAATCACCGGTGGTAGATCTGCAACCAAACCCGCCACAGTCACAGTGGCAGGCACGCCGGTGCACCCTCTGCTCCACTTGGTCCTGCTGACGATCCCAGGTCAAGGCGGAGCTCCCTCTGCCATTCTCAGCTCCACGGTTATGCGCTCTCAAGCCTTTTACCTCAGTCTGTAAGTTGTCCACCTTCAAGGTGAGGCGTTCAACCACATTTATGAGCTTATCCGTGGTATTAGCCTTACAGTCGAAAACACCAGCCGACGGTGAATTTAGGGCTGCAACAACAGCAGGATGCGGAGGACAGTAGGGCAAACCAGGCGTGTTCGACCTCATTGCCTGCCTGGCCCGCTCACAACGCCCAGCAATTATCAACGCCTCCTCCATATCAGTCGCCCCCTGTTCATGGCATTTTGCTTGAAGTGCAGGATCAAGGCCAGCCAAAAAACGTCTGAATTTCTCACCATTTACTGCAGCGCGGTCATAATCGGGAAACGCCTCAGCCACGAGTCTGGAAATGTCCGCCGCATACACCTCCAAACACTCGTTCGCCTGGCGGGGCCGTGCAGATACACACGTCTGGAAATAAAGCAGGAACTGTCTCTGGCCAAAAGCTGCCGCCAGCTTCTCCTTCACACGTTCGTAATCACCCTGCACATCTGCCGGTAAACTGTCCCACAGTAGGAAAGCTGCACTGTCCAGTCTGGTAGGTAGAATGTTCAGCAAGGTAGCTGCGTAGCTCGTGCCCCTCGCACCCCTCGTCTGAGCACGAACAGCGGCTTCAAACTGTCTTATCCACGTAGCGAACTGCCTCTGGCCGTCGCCCCTAAACATCGGCGGCAGCTCCACTCTAATATCACTACTCACAGAACCAGTCCAAGCACCAGTACATCCGTTATAATCGTCTTCCATATCGCCGTCTCCCTTCATTCCTCCGAACATGACGCTTCGACGCTAGCACCGTTAGCACAGCTAGCCAGCAGAGCCGACCAGAAAGTCCAGTAATTGTCCACAGAAAAGAAAAATCCAAGAGCAGATAAAACACACTCCGATACCGCTGCCACCAATGTAACGTCCGAGGTGTTAAGGCTTCAAGAATACTTCTGTGTAACAAGAACTCAGGAACTTAGTACTTTTTGGAGCGTCACAGATGCCTCCGTTTATTAACGTCGAGTCACACACATGTCACCACCACTCTAGCCCCGACTGCGCATGCTCACAACACATGACCTCCAACCCAATGCTTACACTAGTTAGCTGTATTCAGTTAGCTTTTAGTTGTTAATAGTTAACTGTATTCAGTTATCTGTTAGTAGTTAGCTGTATTCAGTAGCTGTTAGTAGTTAGCTGTTAGTAGTAGCTGTTAGTAGTTCGCTGTATTAAGTTGTTAGTAGTAGCTGTTACTAGTTAGCTGTATTCAGTTAGCTGTTAGTAGTAGCTGTTAGTCGTTAGCTGTTAGTTCTTAGCATTTAGCTGTTAGTTCTTAGTTAACTGTATTCAGTTAGCTGTTAGTAGTTATCTGTGAGTAGTAGCTGTTAGCTGTATTCAGTTAGCTGTTAGTAATAGCTGTTAGCGGTATTCAGTTAGCTGTTAGTAGTAGCTGTTAATAGTTGGCAGTTAGCTGTTAGTTGTTAGTAGTTAACTGTATTCAGTTAGCTGTTAGTAATTATCTGTTAGTAGTAGCTGTCAGTAGTTAGCAGTTAGCAGCTGGTGAAGTAAGGTTCCATAGAGTTACATTAAGATGCATTCAGGCACTGTTCAGTATAAATGATTATTGGGCGAACGTGAATTATAATTTATAAAGTTAGCTGTTAGCATTTGGAATTGAGAATTGTGGAATATCACTAGCATTGTTATGGACCTCCTTTTTAACGTACATTTTTTAGCCAATCAAAATATGTCATTCATTTATAATGATCATGTTAATAATTGTGATTAAATAGTTTCCTTGTTTTGACTCGTTTGTTTACATTATTGTAATATCCACTAAACTAAATTGTGTATTAAGTAGTGGTGTGTGTGCCCTCAGCTGTGTGTATTGTGTATTTATAAGTGTGTGTGTGTGTCCTCAGGCTACGTGCAGGGGATGAGCGACCTGCTGTCTCCTGTCCTCTACGTGATGGAGAACGAGGTGGACGCCTTCTGGTGTTTCGTCTCCTTCATGGATCAGATGGTGAGTGTTAGAGCCAGTATTTAGTTTCTATAAGAAAGGCCACCTAATCATGACGTCTGTAGTCAACTGAGTATAAAAGACTACAACTCCCACGGTGCCTCCTCTTAAGAGACAGAGATGGGCAACCTGTCAGAAAGACTCAGTTTTTAACCGTTCAATTACCCTTTAAGTTATCAAGTTATATAAGCCTTAACAAAGAAATAAAGAGTTGTTTGTTATTTGATTTGAGTTGTGCCTGTTTGTTTTGAACATTGTAAAGGCCTCTCTTCTTTGTTGCATGTGTAAAAGTTTGTTATTTTATTTTGAGCAAACCCATCGCACAATATCATCCAAACCATCGGAGGCCAAGCAACTCTTCAACTGTGAGTAACACAAAGATAAAGGAAAGAAACCAAGTCAAACATTTCTGTTTAAGGCGTCTAGTGGCTTGATAGAAAAATAAGGAAGGACGCCACGACAGTGAGACTGCAGTCTTTAAACGTCCAGTTTCTGTTCAGAGAAATCTAAAAGGAGGAGGGTGCTGAGTGGATGAGTTTCTGATACAGCAACGTTTCTGATTGGCCCGTGGGTGTAAAGCCCGCCCACATTTGAGTAATGTGGTCATGACGCAGCAAATCTGGATCAGCTCCATTGTTCCCCCGTTTTTAGAGATGTGGGTACGGAGGAGAAGAGAGAGGGGTTTATTTCCTGACACTTTGAGAGTCTCCTGACACACCGGGGACACACAGTGATGTAGAGAAGACATCACTTTGTGAGTCTCCTGACACACGGGGACACATGGTGATGTAGAGGAGACATCACTTAGTGAGTCTCCTGACACACCGGGGACACATGGTGATGTAGAAAAGACATCAAAAAGTGCATTTTGCATGATAGGAGACCTTTTATGGCGCATTTCCACTACACGGTCGGCCTCGGCCACACTCGGTACGGCTCGGTACGGCTTGGCCGCGTTGGGCCTTAACAGGGCCGACTCACTTCATGCTGCGCATCCATTACAGTTTAGGAACTGGGGTAGTTACTATAGTAACGCAGTGTAGGCGGAGCCGTGACGTCATCTTCAATGAGAACTCCAGAAACACAACACAGCCGTTAGCTGTTAGCACTCAGAGCTCACAGCTCCTTATATATGATCAGAAACTCGACAAAAGTTAAACAAGTACAAACCACAGACTGCCTGTGTCATGGTGAATACAGTCGCTGCTTTATTTATGTCTGTATAGGCCGTTGTTGTGAGTGTGGACGGTCGGGGCATATACTGCGTTAGCTTAGCCAATCTCCATCTAGAAAAACACGCATTTTAAAAGGTGTTTCGCCTGCCGTCTGTCTGCAGACTTGACAAAGCATTAATTCATGGTTTTTACTAACCGGTATCAGTATGTTGTTACTTCGGCATCATTTTGAAACGTGTATTACAATTAAATCACGGTCAAATATGTCCATCTTGTTGTAGTTCTAGCCCTCTTGCCAGCGCTCCTCTCTCTAGTTTAGCATACTCAGCCCGACTCAGCCCTGTTTGTTGGCCCCGATAGAACCACAATTTTCTAGGGCCAGAAAAGAGGGGAAAAAGTGGCCCCGCGCCGTGCCGCGCCGGAACGAGGCCTAGTGGAAGCACAACCAAAAAAGGGGACGGCACGACACGGCACCTTAAAGCGAGCTACGCGCTGCAATGGAAATGCGCCATAAAAGAGACAGTTCACTTTATCATACACGTGTAGAGACTTTGAAAATTGTTTGTATTGAAACATTATAAAACTTTTATCATGTATATACTCAGAGATAATCGTGTGTGTGTGTGTGTGTGTTGCAGCACCAGAACTTTGAGGAGCAGATGCAGGGTATGAAGACTCAGCTGATCCAGCTCAGCACTCTGCTCAGACTGCTCGACCTCTCCTTCTGGAACTACCTGGGTCATTATCTTATATTTTCTTATGTTACATTATGTATTGTTTTATCAGTGTGTTTTATTAGTGTGTGTGTGTGTGTGTGTGTGTGTGTGTGTGTGTGTGTGTGTGTGTGTGTGTGTGTGTGTGTGTGTGTGTGTGTGTGTGTGTGTGTGTGTGTGTGTGTGTGTGTGTGTGTGTGTGTGTGTGTGTGTGTGTGTGTGTGTGTGTGTGTGTGTGTGTGTGTGTGTGTGTGTGTGTGTGTGTGTGTGTGTGTGTGTGTGTGTGTGTGTGTGTGTGTGTGTGTGTGTGTGTGTGTGTGTGTGTGTGTGTGTGTGTGTGTGTGTGTGTGTGTAGAGGCTCAGGACTCGGGTTACCTGTACTTCTGTTTCCGCTGGCTGCTGATCAGATTCAAGAGAGAGCTCAGCTTCCAGGACGTCCTCAGGCTCTGGGAGGTCAGTGTCTTCTTCTGTGGTGGCTCCAGGCATACACCTACACACACCTGGACACACCTCCACACACCTGGACACACCTGCACACACCTGGACACTTACACACACCTCCACACACCTGGACACTTACACACACCTGCACACACCTGGACACACCTCCACACACCTGGACACACCTACACACACCTGCACATACCTACACACACCTGCACATACCTACACACACCTGGACACACCTACACACACCTGGACACTTCCACACACCTACACACACCTGGACACAACCTACACACACCTGGACACACCTACACACACCTGCACACACCTCCACACACCTGGACACACCTACACACACCTGCACACACCTCCACACACCTGGACACTTACACACACCTGGACACACCTGGACACAACTGCACACACCTCCACACACCTGGACACACCTACACACACCTGGACACTTACACACACCTACACACACCTGGACACACCTACACACACCTGCACATACCTACACACACCTGCACATACCTACACACACCTGGACACACCTACACACACCTGGACACTTCCACACACCTACACACACCTGGACACACCTACACACACCTGGACACACCTACACACACCTGCACACACCTCCACACACCTGGACACACCTACACACACCTGCACACACCTCCACACACCTGGACACTTACACACACCTGGACACACCTGGACACAACTGCACACACCTCCACACACCTGGACACACCTACACACACCTGGACACTTACACACACCTACACACACCTGGACACACCTCCACACACCTGCACACACCTCCACACACCTGGACACACCTACACACACCTGGACATACCTACACACACCTGCACACACCTCCACACACCTGGACACACCTACACACACCTGCACACACCTCCACACACCTGGACACTTACACACACCTGGACACAACTGCACACACCTCCACACACCTCCACACACCTGCACACACCTCCACACACCTGGACACTTACACACACCTCCACACACCTGCACACACCTGGACACAACTGCACACACCTGCACACACCTCCACACACCTGGACACAACTGCACACACCTCCACACACCTGGACACACCTACACACACCTGCACATACCTACACACATGTCCACTCACCTACACACACCTGCACACACCTCCACACACCTGGACACACCTACACACACCTACACTCACCTACACACACCTGGACACTTGCACACACCTCCACACACCTCCACACACCTCCACACACCTGCACACACCTCCACACACCTGGACACTTACACATACCTCCACACACCTACACACACCTGGACACTTACACACACCTCCACACACCTCCACACACCTCCACACACCTCCACACACCTCCACACACCTCCACACACCTCCACACACCTGGACACTTACACACACCTGCACACACCTCCACACACCTCCACACACCTGCACACACCTGCACACACCTGGACACTTACACACACCTCCACACACCTCCACACACCTGGACACACCTCCACACACCTCCACACACCTCCACACACCTGGACACTTACACACACCTGCACACACCTCCACACACCTGGACACTTGCACACACCTCCACACACCTGGACACTTACACACACCTGCACACACCTCCACACACCTGGACACTTGCACACACCTGGACACAACTGCACACACCTGCACACACCTGCACACACCTCCACACACCTGGACACTTGCACACACCTGCACACACCTGGACACACCTGGACACACCTACACACACGTGCACACACCTGCACACACCTCCACACACCTGGACACTTGCACACACCTGCACACACCTCCACACACCTGGACACTTGCACACACCTGCACACACCTACACACACCTGGACACCTGCACACACCTGCACACACCTGCACACACCTACACACACCTGGACACACACCTGGACACACCTACACACACCTACACACACCTGCACACACCTGGACACACCTACACACACCTGCACACACCTACACACACCTGCACACACCTCCACACACCTGGACACTTACACACACCTCCACACACATGGACACAACTGCACACACCTCCACACACCTCCACTCACCTACACACACCTGGACACACCTGCACACACCTCCACACACCTACACACACCTGGACACTTACACACACCTCCACACACTTGCACACACCTGGACACAACTGCACACACCTCCACACACCTGGACACACCTGGACACACCTGCACACACCTGCACACACCTACACACACGTCCACTCACCTACACACACCTGCACACACCTCCACACACCTGGACACACCTACACACACCTACACTCACCTACACACACCTGGACACTTGCACACACCTGGACACAACTCCACACACCTCCACACACCTCCACACACCTCCACACACCTCCACACACCTCCACACACCTAGACACAACTGGACACAACTGCACACACCTGCACACACCTCCACACACCTGGACACACCTACACTCACCTACACACACCTACACACACCTGGACACTTGCACACACCTGGACACAACTGCACACACCTCCACACACCTCCACACACCTGCACACACCTGCACACACCTCCACACACCTCCACACACCTGCACACACCTGCACACACCTGCACACACCTGCACACACCTGCACACACCTCCACACACCTGCACACACCTCCACACACCTACACACACCTCCACACACCTGCACACACCTCCACACACCTGGACACTTACACATACCTCCACACACCTGGACACTTACACACACCTCCACACACCTGGACACTTACACACACCTCCACACACCTGGACACTTCCACAACTGTACCTGTAGTGTGTCCTCCTGAGTGCACACCTGTACCTGTAACTGTTGTGTGTCCTCCTGAGTGCACACCTGTACCTGTACCTGTGGTGTGTCCTCCTGAGTGCTCACCTGTACCTGTGGTGTGTCCTCCTGAGTGCACACCTGTACCTGTGGTGTGTCCTCCTGAGTGCACACCTGTACCTGTACCTGTACCTGTGGTGTGTCCTCCTGAGTGCTCACCTGTACCTGTGGTGTGTCCTCCTGAGTGCACACCTGCACCTGTACCTGTGGTGTGTCCTCCTGAGTGCTCACCTGTACCTGTGCTGTGTCCTCCTGAGTGCTCACCTGTACCTGTGGTGTGTCCTCCTGAGTGCTCACCTGTACCTGTGGTGTGTCCTCCTGAAGTGCACACCTGTACCTGTGGCGTGTCCTCCTGAGTGCTCACCTGTACCTGTGGTGTGTCCTCCTGAGTGCATCTACCTGTACATGTGGTGTGTCCTCCTGAGTGCACACCTGTACCTGTGGTGTGTCCTCCGAGTGCACATCTGTACCCTGTGGTGGTACCTGTGGTGTGGTCCTCCTGAGTGCTCACCTGTACCTTGGTGTGTCCTCCTGAGTGCACACCTGTAGTTCCTCCTGAGTGCTCACCTGTACCTGTGGTGTGTCCTCCTGAGTGCTCACCTGTACCTGTGGTGTGTCCTCCTGAGTGCACACCTGTACCTGTGGTGTGTCCTCCTGAGTGCTCACCTGTACCTGTGGTGTGTCCTCCTGAGTGCACACCTGTACCTGTGGTGTGTCCTCCTGAGTGCTCACCTGTACCTGTGGTGTGTCCTCCTGAGTGCACATCTGTACCTGTACCTGTGGTGTGTCCTCCTGAGTGCTCACCTGTACCTGTGGTGTGTCCTCCTGAGTGCTCACCTGTACCTGTGGTGTGTCCTCCTGAGTGCTCACCTGTACCTGTGGTGTGTCCTCCTGAGTGCTCACCTGTACCTGTGGTGTGTCTCCTCAGGTGATGTGGACCGGGCTCCCCTGTCAGAACTTCCACCTGCTGCTGTGCTGTGCCATCCTGGACTCAGAGAAGCAGAAGATCATGGAGGAGAACTACGGCTTCAACGAGATCCTCAAGGTGAGCTCCCCGCCAAAACATTATTCAAAATATACAAGACAAATATCTTAAAAATATGTAAAAAATATGTAAAAATCGTGATATTTATCTATGTAATAAATAGTGATTAAAGGTTGTTGTCATGACTCCTCGGCAGCACATTAACGAGCTCTCCATGAAGCTGGAGATAGAAGAGGTCCTTCAGAAAGCCGAAGGCATCGGTCTGCAGATCAAGAGCTGCAAGGTACGTTCAACTTCACTGATCACCTTCTGGGTTTCACAGCGCCCTCTGTGTGCGCAGAGTGAAGAGGCAATATGTTGACTTTCAGGAAATAACGATTTTTGAGGAAAAAATACAGAATTTTCGGAAAAATGTAAGAATAAAGTTAGAATTTTGATATTTTGAAAAAAATGTCAGAATGTTTTGATTTTGAAATAAACTTCAGAATTTTGAGATTTTGAAAATAAATTATGAAAATAAAAAATCTAAAAGTTGAAATTTTGAGAAATAGTAAAAAAACATTGTGTGAAAGAAGACGTGTTTAAAGTGTATATTCCCTCAGGACCTCCCCGCCACCATCAGCTCCATCCTGGGCTGGGACCCTCCAGCCCCCCCTCCGGTCCCCCCCCCCGGCCCCCCCGCCGGCTCTCAGGACCCCCCAGAGAGGAGCCGCCTGCTCCAGCCCACTCTCCAGAGACAGCAGTGCGCAGAACGGCTGCTCACCGGCCTTCATATCATAAACACTGCCTCCAGAAGAGCAGGACTGTCTATACCACCACAGAAGAAGAAGAGCAGGACTGTCTATACCACCACAGAAGAAGAAGAGCAGGACTGTCTATACCACCACAGAAGAAGAAGAGCAGGACTGTCTATACCACCACAGAAGAAGAAGGGTACCACACAGAAGAAGAAGAGCAGGACTGTCTATACCACCACAGAAGAAGAAGAGCAGGACTGTCTATACCACCACAGAAGAAGAAGAAGAGCAGGACTGTCTATACCACCACAGAAGAAGAAGAAGAGCAGGACTGTCTATACCACCACAGAAGAAGAAGAGCAGGACTGTCTATACCACCACAGAAGAAGAAGAGCAGGACTGTCTATACCACCACAGAAGAAGAGCAGGATGTAAAAAGGATGTCAGATTATTCAGAATCTTATTTTTGTAATTTCTTGTACCATAGCGTGTCTCATTCTTTGTGCAGAGCGAGTCTCTGAAGCTCCGCTCAGACATTATTCAGCTTTAATAACTGACGCGTGATTATGGTCTGCTTCAGTGTTCATCTCTCCGGGGGTAAACCCAGGGAATCTCTGACATACCTGAAGTTACAGCCGGCGATATCACCCATTTACGAGAACAACATAAATACTATCTGAGATTATAAAGTGTTTACAGAAAACCTCTCAGATATCCTCGCGGGTCAGAGTGGAGAGACCGGAGGGACATCCTGCCATAGACCCTCCATCGCTTCATAATCTCAGAAGATATTTAAATAACCGCTCTGATTATTACCCCGTGGCTGCATCCTCATTCTTATTATTATTATTATTTGTATTATTTTGTACTGATTGCCCGAACGCGCCTTGCATTGGAGCTTTAATAACCCTCAGACGCGCCTTGCATTGGAGCTTTAATAACCCTCAGACGCGCCTTGCATTGGAGCTTTAATAACCCTCAGACGCGCCTTGCATTGGAGCTTTAATAACCCTCAGACGCGCCTTGCATTGGAGCTTTAATAACCCTCAGACGCGCCTTGCATTGAGAGCTTTAATAACCCTCAGACGCGCCTTGCATTGAGAGCTTTAATAACCCTCAGACGCACCTTGCATTGGAGCTTTAATAACCCTCAGACGCGCCTTGCATTGGAGCTTTAATAACCCTCAGACGCGCCTTGCATTGGAGCTTTAATAACCCTCAGACGCGCCTTGCATTGAGAGCTTGAATAACCCTCAGACGCACCTTGCATTGGAGCTTTAATAACCCTCAGACGCGCCTTGCATTGAGAGCTTGAATAACCCTCAGACGCACCTTGCATTGGAGCTTTAATAACCCTCAGACGCACCTTGCATTGAGAGCTTGAATAACCCTCAGACGCACCTTGCATTGAGAGCTTGAATAACCCTCAGACGCACCTTGCATTGGAGCTTTAATAACCCTCAGACGCGCCTTGCATTGAGAGCTTTAATAACCCTCAGACGCGCCTTGCATTGAGAGCTTTAATAACCCTCAGACGCGCCTTGCATTGAGAGCTTGAATAACCCTCAGACGCACCTTGCATTGAGAGCTTGAATAACCCTCAGACGCACCTTGCATTGAGAGCTTGAATAACCCTCAGACGCACCTTGCATTGAGAGCTTGAATAACCCTCAGACGCACCTTGCATTGAGAGCTTTAATAACCCTCAGACGCACCTTGCATTGAGAGCTTGAATAACTCAGAAACAATCAGTTACTCCTCGCAAAGCTCCAGGATCCATCTGATCAGATCAACCCCGTGAAGCATTTTATTCATTTGAATGTTTACTCTAAAGGAACGTCTTGGTCTGTTGGTGGAGGCAGATTTACATTTAGGGATTTTTATATTCTATGTTACAAGAATGACATGTATGATTCAAATGTGATTCACTTTTTTAATATTATTATACACGGAAGAGGAAGAGCGCCACACATACATTTGTCTTTTAGATCTGACCAACAGGGATTGGGTTTTTTTTGTTTTGAGAAAAGTCCGAAATATCTGGGGTTTTATTTTACATCAAATAAAGTCAAAATTCAACTTTAGTCTCTACGGAAGAGGAGGAAGCGACGTGTGGAAACAAATTGAGATCTGATCACAAAAGTCAAAAAGTGTTTTTCTGTCGGAATCAGAATTCTGAGAAAAAAAAATCGGAATTCTGAGAAAAAAATCGGAATTATGAGAAAAAAAATCGGAATTATGAGAAAAAAAATCGGAATTCTGAGAAAAAAAAATCGGAATTCTGAGAAAAAAAAATCTTCTGAGTACTTTCTCAGATTAAAGTCCGTTTTTCTTTTAACAATAAATTTCGATGTGTCCACAAGTTAAAACACTTAAATCAGAACTCCAGATCCTCCATAATCCTCTTCTGTAATCATACATCAAATCACTATAATAATAATGTACGTGCGGCAGGAGGAGAAACATCTCGAGACGTCTCTGTTTGATTGGATGGATTCATTTAGAGATCACTGCTCCTCCTGCCACACGTGTGTTATTATATATTTCATTATTAAATGATTTCCAAAGCGTTCCTTTAAATAGAGGACATGATTCTGCTTATTATTCATTATTCATTATTAATAATTGAGTTCTCCCGGGTTTGTGATCTCAGCTTTTATGTTTTGCAATAAAAGGATTTAATTATAAACAGCTCTGTATTTATATTAATATCTGTTTAATTAAGTGTGTATAGTAATAAGAGTATATAGGTCTATATTTATCATATGTATTTAAAATGTCTATAATAAGAGTATCCAGTCTATATTTATTATTGATATATATATGAAGTGTTAATAGTTATAATAGCAGTGTTTATAGGTCTATATAATTAAGTGATGCAACATGTTGAACATTATATAGAAGTATATATTGATTGTGTATTCACAGTGAGCTTTAGGAACATTAGGATTATTGCAGAAAACTCCTAATATGACGTGAGCAGCCGCTCTGCTGTCGTCTCTCCGTAGATTTGACTTATATCTGTATGACACGGCTCGTTTGAATACTCGATTCCGATTGGTCCGTTTGGACATCTCAGAGGCTGTTAACACTCGATAACACACCGCTGCTGAGGAGGGAGAGAAAGACAGAGGTTTAAATACGTCAGAGGAATCACCAGGAGAAGACGGATAGGATATATTTATATAAACAGTATATTTATTTATTCATACATTTAAATAAACACTCACGATGTGCTGTTTATTTCTGATGAGAGTAATCTGAAGATGAGTTTCACATCAGAGACAGGAAGTCATTTAAATTCTTCTTCAGCAGAAATGTCAAACTGAGCGTCTCTAAATGTCACTGCAGCTGCTTCTTCCTCCTCTTCATCCTCCTCTTCCTCTTCACCCCCCCCCCCTCAGGTATCACCTGTATCCGCCTGTAATTCTCCAGCAGAAGAAGATAAAAGCGTGTCGCCTCCGAGCTCTTTCATTTCCTGTCTGACAGGAAATGAAAGAGCTGATATTCATCAGAAATCATCTGCAGCTTATGGGGTGGGGGCTGTCACTCAGACACACATACACACACTCACATACACACATACACACACACACACACACCTCTGAGACTGACAACAGCTTTCATTCGCAAAATAAAACCTGAAAATGTGAATGACGGCGCACAAAGTGTTTCTCAGGTTCAATAAAAGCTTTATGTTAATATTATCATATCATAAAACAGTTTTTATTTAAAGAGTCCTCTCCTGCTGATGTTCAGGTGTATATCAGTATGTAGTGTCTCTACTTTAAAGAGTCCTCTCCTGCTGATGTTCAGGTGTATATCAGTATGTAGTGTCTCTACTTTAAAGAGTCCTCCTGCTGATGTTCAGGTGTATATCAGTATGTAGTGTCTCTACTTTAAAGAGTCCTCTCCTGCTGATGTTCAGGCGTATATCAGTATGTAGTGTCTCTACTTTAAAGAGTCCTCTCCTGCTGATGTTCAGGTGTATATCAGTATGTAGTGTCTCTACTTTAAAGAGTCCTCTCCTGCTGATGTTCAGGTGTATATCAGTATGTAGTGTCTCTACTTTAAAGAGTCCTCTCCTGCTGATGTTCAGGTGTATATCAGTATGTAGTGTCTCTACTTTAAAGAGTCCTCTCCTGCTGATGTTCAGGTGTATATCAGTATGTAGTGTCTCTACTTTAAAGAGTCCTCTCCTGCTGATGTTCAGGTGTATATCAGTATGTAGTGTCTCTACTTTAAAGAGTCCTCTCCTGCTGATGTTCAGGTGTATGTCAGTATGTAGCGTCTCTACTTTAAAGAGTCCTCTCCTGCTGATGTTCAGGTGTATATCAGTATGTAGTGTCTCTACTTTAAAGAGTCCTCTCCTGCTGATGTTCAGGTGTATATCGGTATGTAGTGTCTCTACTTTAAAGAGTCCTCTCCTGCTGATGTTCAGGTGTATATCAGTATGTAGTGTCTCTACTTTAAAGAGTCCTCTCCTGCTGATGTTCAGGTGTATATCAGTATGTAGTGTCTCTACTTTAAAGAGTCCTCTCCTGCTGATGTTCAGGTGTATGTCAGTATGTAGTGTCTCTACTTTAAAGAGTCCTCTCCTGCTGATGTTCAGGTGTATGTCAGTATGTAGTGTCTCTACTTTAAAGAGTCCTCTCCTGCTGATGTTCAGGTGTATATCAGTATGTAGTGTCTCTACTTTAAAGAGTCCTCTTCTGCTGATGTTCAGGTGTATATCAGTATGTAGTGTCTCTACTTTAAAGAGTCCTCTCCTGCTGATGTTCAGGTGTATATCAGTATGTAGTGTCTCTACTTTAAAGAGTCCTCTCCTGCTGATGTTCAGGTGTATATCAGTATGTAGTGTCTCTACTTTAAAGAGTCCTCTCCTGCTGATGTTCAGGTGTATATCAGTATGTAGTGTCTCTACTTTAAAGAGTCCTCTCCTGCTGATGTTCAGGTGTATATCAGTATGTAGTGTCTCTACTTTAAAGAGTCCTCTCCTGCTGATGTGTGTGGGAGGGAACACAGGGATTTTAGCCTCTGCAGACCATTAACATGCACTAAAACCTACAGAACAATCTAGAGGGAAGAACTCTTTAATATCAGTCTGTCTCCATTTCCTGTCGTAACCCTAATCAACAATCAGAATCCCTTGAGTCGTCCGACAGAGGGAAAAGGTACATTGTTTACAAGTAAAGAGCCAAAGGTAGCTTAGCATTAAAAGATAAAAGTAGAAATTGACCAGTGACTGCCCCTCTGTTCCTGCTTCAACAACTGAGTGCCACAGTGACGCGTCCTAAAACCCGGAAGTGAGTCAGCATTTGACCACTTCCTGTTCCCTGGTCTCAGAGCCAATGGGATCTCTCCATAGGGTTTAGGAAGATATCTGTAAATAAGGTCTGTGGTTGAGACACATTGAAGAGACGGATCACGTTTTGTTCTAGGACATTAAATCCATCAGCAGTGACCCCTCTGGTGATTTCTGAAGAGTTCACGTGTCTGAGAAACGATGGTTGTTACCAAGTGGCTGAATAGGACTACAGAAGTCGTGGAGGACGTTGTACGTCATTACGCCGAACACGTGAACACTCCTCTAAGTTAGTTTGCCCTGTTCTGCTTGAAAGCAAGTACCTGCCTCCTGCTAACTGTTCAAACAAACGCTTCAACTTGTACCATTTAGAATCTGTGTGTTTGAATATGGATCTGAAGTTGGCGTGACGTTGAAGTCGTGCTGCTGGACTCGCCTGTAGTTCCTTTATACCATAACGTTAGCATTTAGCTTCTGTACATTAGATTTATGATTAGAACATTATAAAAGTAGGGTAGAGATGTGGAGATGATCCGGCTGAACAAAACGTGATCCGTCTCTTCAATGCGTCTCAACCACAGACCTGATTTCCAGATATTTTCCAAAATCCGATGGAGAGATTGCATTGCGTTTTTGTCAAAGGAACCGGAAGGAGTTTACTTCCGGGTTTTAGTCACTGTGGCTCTCTATACGGGTCATTGTTGACCCATGGTGTCCCTTAGAAGGGTCGTGATACAAAAATCATTTTCATTCAAAAAGTAAGAAAGGAAAAATGAAAGTAAGAATGTGTGATGATCAAAAACAAGTGAATTGATGAATACCTGGAAATTAAGTAATTAGTAATTTGTTGCAAAGATATTTACAATTAAATCTCACTCGGGTCACTTATGACCCATGTGTTGCATCAAAGGGTTAAAGCAGCAAAGGTAGCTTAGCATTCATTAAGAAGCATAACATGTTATTTGATTTCCTCTGGTCCGTGTCTCTGTGTTCTGCTACTTGGTGTCTCTGTGTTCTGCTATTGGTTGGTTAGGAAGTCAAATGTTGTATGTTATGGATTGCCAACTCATTTGTACATGTCTCATTCACTCATTGTTAATATCTGTATTTGTGGATGTCATTGTTTGTGCTTGTAAAAAAATGAAAAACTCGATAAAGATATTGTTTAAAAAAAAGAAAAAGAAAAGTTGCAATTAAAACAAAACAAAAGGTAAGTAGGGCTCGCGACTTCAGTGACGTGGGAGATGCTTATTTGCCCTGTTTTTGAACACACTTTTGACCCCCGCAACATATGTGAAAACTCAGCAAATGTTTCACGCGTGTCAGGACTGGTGGAAATTGCGATGTGTAATTGGTTCCGGAACTTTGCGTGAAAAAATGTGCAAGTCACGCCCACGTAAACTCCCCCCACTTTCACGTAAGAGAACGAAAATCGCTACGTATATCAAGGGTGCGGAGACGAACCAAAAAGCCTCTTGGAGGTGTATAAAAAAACATACAGGAAGTCGGCCATTTTGAATTTGATATTGGTAAAACGCGATTCATCGCCCTCCGTACTTTAACGAACTCTTCCTAGGGATTTTATCCGATCGACTCCAAATTCGGCGGGTAGCGTCTCGAGACCTGGGGGACGGAAAGTTCTAAAATTCTTAACTTTTTGCACTATTTTTTATTTTTACATAGGTTCAATGTTCAAGGCTTTTATTGTCATGTGTACATAGCTACAGTGTAGATATATCAATGAAAATCTGAGGTCACAGGCTCCTCCAACAGAGCAACACAATACAACAAGATAAAATAGTTAAAATAGTGCAAGTAAATACAAATAAAATAGGATAGAAATAGTATATATGTTGCATTGCTGGAGGAGCTCAGGTCAGCAGCTACTGCTCTACTCTGTAGCTGCTGAGCATATGAGGATAAAACCTTTGAATCTTTTCATTTGAATCAACAGATAAAGTGTGTGCTCATCGACGGGGTGCAGAAGAGGGAGGAGCCTCTCTCTCCCCCCTCCTGTGGGAGTATATAAAGGGTACAACATTATAATAAAAATAAACAAAAAATAGCAATGAAAAAAAAAACAACCATAAAAATCTTAAAGATCAAAAATGTACCAAACACACATCCAGTGAGTGTGACCGCCCCTCTGTTTGTGCTTCAACAGATAAAGTGTGTGCTGGTGGATGGGGTGCAGAAGTGGGAGGAGCCTCTCTCTCCTCTGTGAGAGTATATAAAGGGAGGCATCATTCTCAGACTGAGCCCTGGTACTCGTACACCCACTGGTTCTCAGACTGAGCCCTGGTACTCCTGCACCCACTGGTTCTCAGACTGGAGCCCTGGTACTCGTACACCCACTGGTTCCCCATGGCCTCCTCCCATGTGATGAAGCCGGAGCCGATGCCCCGCATGCAGCCGGCCATGATGATGTTCTGCAGCAAGTACTGGAGCCGGAGGGGCATGTCTCTGGACTCTGCCATGTTCCAGAGGCACACCGGGGGCCAGATGGTGAGAAACCTCACATTATCCCTCAATTCATCATCAGACGTGGGAAGTTACTTAAGTAACATTTTGAGGTACTTGTACATCCATTTTCTTCTACATGTGTACCTCTACTCCAGTTATTCATCAATTAATCATCATATTTGTTTTTGCATATCGACTGGTTGATGTGCCATTTCATTTGTGTTTTACAGCTGTATTCGTCTGCCTGTATTGTTTGGTGTTCATTTGTTGTAACTTTGTTCATGCTGCCCTCTTGGCCAGGTCGCTCTGGAAAAAGAAGGGGAGGGAAGTAACTAAGTAGATTTACTCAAGTACTGTACTTAAGTAACATTTTGAGGTACTTGTACATCCATTTTCTGCTACTGCATGTGTACTTCTACTCCTCTACAATTCAGAGGTACATGGTGTACTTTGACTCCACTACATGTATTTAATCCCTGTAGTTACTTCACAGATGTGGATGAATGATGTGAAATATAATCAAGTGTTAAATCAGACTTTAGTTCCACCTGGAGTAAATCCACAAGCTACCCTGCAGTATACAAAGTCATTCAAACTAGCTGCACCTTTACCAGCTTTGAGAACACTTTCATGATCAATCATTATAAAACATATCATAGATATTATTCTGAAATGGACCAATCTGCACAATGACTACTTTCACTGTCGCTACTTTAAATATATTTTGATGAGAATACTTTTCTACTTTTACTTGAGGAACATTTTGAATGCAGTACTTTTACTGTAACAGAGTATTCCTACACTCTGGTACTTCTACTTTTACTCAGGTACAAGATCTGAGTACTTCTACTTTTACTCAAGTACAAGATCTGAGTACTTCTACTTTTACTCAAGAACAAGATCTGAGTACTTCTACTTTTACTCAAGAACAAGATCTGAGTACTTCTACTTTTATCTAAATATTTAAACTTTTTGTCTGATTATTTAGTATTTTTCTCTCAAATGTTTCGACTGTTCAGATTTCTTTACTCTCTCCCACGCAGCGAACTGTCTGCTGTGGACACCACTCACACACTCATACACACTTCATCTCTGAAAACATGCAGAAAATGATTTTTATGTCAGTATTTTCTGATTTGTGGAGCGATGCAGAGAGATGTAAATGATCACATGTTCCCCTCTGAGACAGAGATGGCACAGATTGAATCTCACTCCGGTGTTTTTCCATCCGTAGGAAGCTCGGCGTTACCTGAAAGCACGAATGATTTGAGTGGTGATACGGCAGATTATTCATATCCTCCAGCAGACGCTCAGTTTGCTGCCAAAGCTCCTTTATCTGCACTGATTATCATTTTAATATCGTGTGTTGTAAATACTCTGCTTCAGTGATGAAGAGCAATAACTCGTTCGCATGTTAGGACATTAAGCAGATTGTTTTCACTGAAATGTGTTCAACCAGTTCTTTACCAAATGTCATGTTTTACAAAGTTTCCTCGTTTAACCGCACGGTACATTTCCAACACGCTGATTTTATTCATGTAGTATTTATTATTATTAAAGCTACATTAAATGAATCTCATCAAGTGTCTCCAAAATATAAAATATGATTTAAATAAAACAAATAAAACAAAATTATTCAACCAAAAATGATAAATTGTATTTCTTGTTATCTTTGTTTTTAAAACATAGATAAGAAAACTAAATAGGAAGCCTGTTTACTGACAAGCTAGCTATCGAACTAATTGGGGTAGGCTACTAACTAGCTTACTAACTAACTAATTAACTAACAAGCCTACTAGCTAACTAGTGTACTAACTGAACTAACTATCTTATTTGCTTACTTCTTAACTAGCTAATATACTAACTAACTAGCTAACAAGCGTACTAACTAAGCAACTACCTAGCAAACTTGCTTACGAACAAGTTGCTAAAGTTCTTAGTAATTCACTGAATACGTTTCTTGCTAACTAGCTTAATAACTATCTTACTTAGTTTCTAGCTAACTAGCTTAATAACTATCTACTTAGTTATTAAGCTAGTTAGCTAGAAACTAAGTAGATAGTTATTAAGCTAGTTAGCTAGAAACTATCTTACTTAGTTTCTAGCTAACTAGCTTAATAACTATCTTACTTAGTTTCTAGCTAACTAGCTTAATAACTATCTTACTTAGTTTCTAGCTAACTAGCTTCATAACTATCTACTTAGTTTCTAGCTAACTAGCTTCATAACTATCTACTTAGTTTCTAGTTAACTCGCTTAATAACTATCTACTTAGTTTCTAGCTAACTAGCTTCATAACTATCTACTTAGTTTCTAGCTAACTAGTTTAATAACTATCTTACTTAGTTTCTAGCTAACTAGCTTAATAACTATCTACTTAGTTTCTAGCTAACTAGTTTAATAACTATCTTACTTAGTTTCTAGCTAACTAGCTTCATAACTATCTACTTAGTTATTAAACTAGTTAGCTAGAAACTATCTACTTAGTTTCTAGCTAACTAGTTTAATAACTATCTTACTTAGTTTCTAGCTAACTAGCTTAATAACTATCTTACTTATTAAGCTAGTTAGCTAGAAACTATCTTAATTAGTTTCTAGCTAACTAGCTTAATAACTATCTACTTAGTTTCCAGCTAACTAGCTTAATAACTATCTACTTAGTTTCTAGCTAACTAGCTAAATAACTATCTACTTAGTTTCTAGCTAACTAGCTTAATAACTATCTTACTTATTAAGCTAGTTAGCTAGAAACTATCTACTTAGTTTCTAGCTAACTAGCTAAATAACTATCTACTTAGTTTCTAGCTAACTAGCTTAATAACTATCTTACTTAGTTATTAAGCTAGTTAGCTAGAAACTATCTTACTTAGTTTCTAGCTAACTAGAGGACGTGAGAAATGAAGGAAGCTGGTTCTGTTTCTCTGCTTGCTGACTGCCAATGCTAGTAAACAAAGGCCGTGTCTCAATTCAGGGGCTGCACCCTTCGGAGTACGCAGCCTACGCGGTCCACGGAGGACCCAGCCCACGTAGACCGGGTAGGCTGGACCGAGCGGCCTACGAAATGAGACGGTCTAGCCCAGGGGTTCCCAACCCCCGGTCCGCGGACCGGTACCGGGCCGCAGAGGTGTTACTGCCGGGCCGCGAAATAGCTGTGAGTTTATCGTAATATTTGCAGAATTATAAATATATAAAAATATTTTATCATAATATTTTTTCAAAAAGTGTTTAATTTTCGCACCTATGCCACCAGTCATATTATTTCATCCAGTAGCTAGTTAATCTTTCACCAGAAAACCGTTGAAAATGGCTTTTATGATGAGGGATTCGGCGGCTCAGCCTTATAAGGTCTCCTCTCGTGCGCACGAGCATGTTACCGGTGCGCCAAGTAGGAAGAGGAGCGCACAGGAGACAACCGTTTGATTGCAGACTGTTATGTTTATGTGGGGAAATGGTGGTGCATACATTATTTGAGATATATTTCAAACTCGGACTTCATTTTAAGGACATGTCGGCCAGGGGTGTAGAGCTATTTGTTTAAGCACCGGATTGGCAAAACAGAAGAGTAAACCAGTCTGCCTTGATCTATCAATTAATGTCCGGGACTCTCGGACCCGCAGCTGCCCGCAGCTGCTTTATAGACGGAAACCCTCCTTCACTTCTTAAAACGGCTGCAGCATCCGGAGGCAGCGGCACGTATACTCCGCTTCTGAGAAGTGCAGCACCAGTATGACTGTGTTTAACTTCATCAGAACAGTTTAAGAGTGACTGCAGGCTGCTACGTGTTAACCACACACACCTATACACACACATCTACACACATCGAACTGCCCGATTACTCCCCCTTTTATTAGTTTTATGAAGGAGATGTCCAGTCAGTCACCAAGGCGCATGATGTGTGTGTGTATGTGCTCTGCTCAGCTCAGCTCTGTGTGTTCGGTGTGTTTGTGTCTGTCCGACACCGGCATTTGTTTTCAAATGTTTATGAACAGTAATTTACACACATATGGCTAACTCCATATATGCGGCTGTTCCCAAAATAAATTAGTTTAATCTTAATCTCGATGTAGTGCTAATGCTGTCGGAGTGCACCGGAACGAACGACACTATCATAATATCTTCTGAAAACAAATGCCAGTGTTCATAATGCGGCTTCTCCTCGTTTTCCCAGCATTCACTGGATTATCCGTAAATCATACAAACAAAACCAAAACGTTAATTTATCTGTTTTCCCGTTTTGGTTTAAAAACTGAATAACGTCGGTTTTTTGGTTTTCCGAAAAAACCAAAAAATGACACCGGTTCTTTTTTAAACTTTGTTAATATGTTTTGGATGCATATTGTTCTAGTATCTGTTCAGGCTGTTACATACAATTAGCCTCTGTTGCTACCTGCTGGTGGTGAGTAAATATTAAAATCAGTTAAAATTGACAACCGGTCCGTGATTTTTTTTTAATGTATCTGCCGGTCCTTGGCACAATAAAGGTTGGGAACCCCTGGTCTAGCCTACGGAGCGCTTCGTATTTATGTCACGTGATACGCGCTGTTCGGTTGCGCTGCTCCAGCAGCCTGCTAGCAGATTAGCTTACAAGCTAACTCAGCTGAAAAGGATCCAGAAACGTTACTTTTACTTTTACATTTTTTGGAGATCACCGTCGGCGATGAATTAAAGAGGACCATGGCCAGGTAAATAAGATGAAGCTGTTCCTTTAGCCCCCAGTAATGTTACATTAGTAAGTTAACAAGTAAATTATATATAGCTGATGTAATTTAATCATATTATTTATTTAAAATAAGTCTTAATTGTTCTGTACTAATAAAACAATATGTTTTTTAAATGAACCAAAGCATGTTGTATAGATTGATTCTTAACAATATTAGTGTTCTAATCTTAATAGCTGTGATCATAACAGTTTATATTCTCCTTCTTCCCCTAAACCTGCCCAGATGATGTCCCACTGACCCCAGGTCAGCACCTCCAGGTCCAGCAGCACCGTGATCCCCCGCTCTGCTGAAATACACAATTAAACATTTTCTATGACCTATTTTTTGTATTAATAAAATTAAACTGAAGACAGTTGAATGACCTAGAGATATCCTAGTATTCCACTGCTTATGTACACATGTTGTAAATAATGGTTAAAACCTCAGTAAATGAAATAAACAATGTGTTTAACAATTACAATTTAATATTGTATTTTCATCTTATCACAAAGTAGAGGTAAGAATATATCCATCCTCTCTCTGCAGCTTCATGTCTTCTATTATTATAACTTTCATCATTGAGACAGAGCAAATCAATCATGTTATTTAACATCACCAGCAGTAAAACAAATATCAGCAAAAGTGTGTTTATGCAGTTGTTTATTTGTATTATATGTGCAGCAAGTATATAGAAGCAGTTGTTTGGGGAATCAGACAGACTCAAGCTATAATCGTTACATATCTATTCAAAGAAAGGACACATACAAAATCATATTCTGAAACTAAGACACACAAGTATGTAGGACGGCAGTAAGCAGAGGTCTGGGTGGAGGATGTTCCTGATCGCCGTTTTGCTTTCTTCAGCACCACGGGGTGTCCAGGTGGATGGCAGCTCTGTCCTGATGATCCGCTGGGGTTAGGGGTCCTTCTCCAGCACCACGGGGTCCAGGTGGATGGCAGCTCTGTCCTGATGATCCGCTGGGCACTTTTCAGATTAGGGGTCCTTCTCCAGCAGATCCATTTCTCCAGAATTTTACTAATTACAGAGAAAAACAAGAGAAAAATTAAAAAGTGAATTAATCATATTAAACACAGGGTTGCAGAAGTATTATTGCAAAATGTAACTAAGCATTTCAGAGTCAGACAAACAATCCCTAAAGGATCATTTAAAATGATGTACTGTTCTGGTTTTTAAAAAACTAAAGAGATGAAATGACAGTCACACGTGCATCCCTTTGACAGCACGGCACAAACTAACATCAAGCAAAAGGCTGCTGTCTATTTTTGATTGTCTTATTATTATGGGATTAGGATACATTAAATAAACTTTAACCTTATAAAAGATGATCAAATCTGGTGGAAATATTTAAAATAGGCTTTTCTTTTAGCCCTACCTCAAAGCAGCATGAGCTGAACACAAAGGTTGTAATGTTGTCCCAAAGTTTAATAAACAGTAAAACAGTGCAACATGTCAGAGAAATACATAAAGCTAATAGCAGCTACACGTCAGGGTAGCCTTTTATAAATCCCACCGTACTGTAGGCTATACCGGTCTAAATGTTTTCACTTTGGTCTATTTATGTAATATAAAGTATAACTTATCTATAACAGAGCCACGATCTCTGTATGACTTTAGTAAACTTCTGAATTGAATTAAAAATAAGTGTAAACAACAGTGCAGTACGTCCAGCTAGCTAGTTAGCGTCACATATTTATCCGTATTATTTAACGAAAATGTACGTTTTAATGCCCCTTGGGTTTGACGTGTGTGACATTAGTTAATTTAAAGTAAGTTAAAACCCAATACTCACATTTATTAGTGATTCCTCCGCTTGCTGCTGCTTTTAAATCCACTCTGCTGGGGAGACCGGAAGCCATTTCATTTGAAAAAAACTCACTCTTCCCTGCGCGTATTGCACCCTGGGATATGGTAGGCCGCGGAGTGTACATCAGATGTATCCTTCAAATTGGGGAAAAGTAGGCTGCATTCGTGGGCCGCATTCGGAGGAGTCTCGTCTTTTTTTTTAATTGGGACAGCCTTCTTTCGGCGGAAGTGACGTATGCGGTCTACGAATGCACCCTTCGAAGGATGAAACCCCTGAATTGAGACACGGCCAAAGTCTCATGTAAACAAAGTCTCATGCAACCAAAGTCTCATGTCAACAAAGTCTCATGTAACCAAAGTCTCACGTCAACAAAGTCTCACGTAAACAAAGTCTCACGTAAACAAAGTCTCATGTGTCCGATGAGACTCAGATTGTCGGGGAGACCCGAGGAATCCTTATGGTTTCAGATGTTTACACTCTGTGAGTGTGTGTGTGTGTTTGTGTTTGTGTTGTTGTGGTTCAGTCGAGGCGTCCGTCCTTCTGTCCCATCAGCGAGTCGCCGGACAAAGAGAGCGCAGAGGATTCTGGGAAAACAGCGGTGGTGTTTTCTCTGAAGAACGAAGTGGGCTGTCTGGTGACATCACTGAAGCTCTTCCAGGTGAGAGGCTTCCTCTCCTTTCCTCCCTCCTCACTCCTTCCTCCCTCTGATGCTCACTCTCTCCTTTCCTCCCTCCTCACTCCTTCCTCCCTTTGATGCTCACTCTCTCCTTTCCTCCTCCCTCCTCCCTCCCTCTGATGCTCACTCTCTCCTTTCCTCCCTCCTCCCTCCCCAGGAGAGCGGAGTGAATCTGAACCACATCGAGTCTCGGAGGTCGAAGAGAGTCGTTAACGAGGTGGAGATCTACGCCGACTGCAGCTGCAGCCAAAAGGAGTTCAAGGAGCTGCTGGAGGTCCTCAGAGAGCACGTGAACATCCTCTCCTCCAACACACCTGCTCACGTGTGGTCAGCAGAGGCAGGTAGGAACTCTTTAAACAGGTAGGAACACCTGAGACAGGTAGGAACTCTTTAAACAGGTAGGAACTCTTTAAACAGGTAGGAACACCTGAGACAGGTAGGAACTCTTTAAACAGGTAGGAACACCTGAGAGAGGTAGGAACTCTTTAAAACAGGTAGGAACACCTGAGACAGGTAGGAACTCTTTAAACAGGTAGGAACACCTGAGACAGGTAGGAACTCTTTTAAACAGGTAGGAACACCTGAGACAGGTAGGAACTCTTTAAACAGGTAGGAACACCTGAGACAGGTAGGAACTCTTTAAACAGGTAGGAACACCTGAGACAGGTAGGAACTCTTTAAACAGGTAGGAACACCTGAGACAGGTAGGAACTCTTTAAACAGGTAGGAACACCTGAGACAGGTAGGAACTCTTTAAACAGGTAGGAACTCTTTAAACAGGTAGGAACACCTGAGACAGGTAGGAACTCTTTAAACAGGTAGGAACACCTGAGACAGGTAGGAACTCTTTAAACAGGTAGGAACACCTGAGGCAGGTAGGAACACTTTAAACAGGTAGGAACACCTGAGGCAGGTAGGAACTCTTTAAACAGGTAGGAACTCTTTAAACAGGTAGGAACACCTGAGACAGGTAGGAACTCTTTAAACAGGTAGGAACACCTGAGACAGGTAGGAACTCTTTAAACAGGTAGGAACACCTGAGACAGGTAGGAACTCTTTAAACAGGTAGGAACTCTTTAAACAGGTAGGAACACCTGAGACAGGTAGGAACTCTTTAAACAGGTAGGAACACCTGAGACAGGTAGGAAGACTCTTTAACAGGTAGGAACACCTGAGGCAGGTAGGAACACTTTAAACAGGTAGGAAACACCTGAGGCAGGTAGGAACTCTTTAACAGGTAGGGAACTCTTTAAACAGGTAGGAACACCTGAGACAGGTAGGAACTCTTTAAACAGGTAGGAAACACCTGAGGACAGGTAGGAAACTTCTTTAAACAGGTAGGAACACCTGAGCAGGTAGGAACTCTTTAAACAGGTAGGAACTCTTTAACAGGTAGGAACACCTGAGACAGGTAGGAACTCTTTAAACAGGTAGGAAACCTGAGACAGGTAGGAACTCTTTAAACAGGTAGGAACACCTGAGACAGTAGAACTCTTTAACAGGTAGGAACACCTGAGACAGGTAGGAACTCTTTAAACAGGTAGGAACTCTTTAAACAGGTAGGAACACCTGAGACAGGTAGGAACTCTTTAAACAGGTAGGAACACCTGAGGCAGGTAGGAACTCTTTAAACAGGTAGGAACTCTTTAAACAGGTAGGAACACCTGAGACAGGTAGGAACACCTGAGACAGGTAGGGATATTAGCAGGGACGGCGCCAGGGGGTAGCTTAGTTGCTATAGCAACTCCAACAATTGGCCTAGCAACGGCTTAGCAACCCCATTGTTTTGTTATGAAAATGTATCTATATATATTTATATTAGGGCTGTCAAGTTAATGCGTTAATAACGCGTTAACGCAAAAAAAAATGAACGCCACTAATTATTTTAACGCGATTAACGCATGTGTATTTTTTGTCCTCGGCCGCCGTAGTTTCAGAGCGCATCGAGTTTAAAATACCATCTACAAGCTGATGCTGACAGCCCCGCTCCTGCTGCCCGCTTGTGGCAGACCACACTTCCCCGCTCACCGGCAGGCCCGGACTGGCCATCGGGAGGACCGGGAGGGTGTGTGTATGTGTGGCGCGAGCGAAGCACACCTTACGTGTTGTTGTTAGCATCTGGTGCTAGCTAGCTGAGCTAACGGATATAAGGAGCTGTTTCAATGAAAACAGAGGAGCGACATCTTGCCGACAACTGCGCCGAGCACTTGACTTTATGCCGGTAGCCAGACAGCACACTCAGCACGGATAGTGCCTCAACACAGCTCATACACACAGGCATATATGCCTTGAGCTGCACATAGCTCCAACACACACACACACACACACACACACACACACACACACACACACACACACACACACACACACACACACACACACACACACACACACACACACACACAGTATTATTGTATGAGAGAGGTTCCAGGTTGAATTGAGGCGAATATTTGTAATGTTCAGAGGTTGTTGTGTTTAATATTCATGAGAATATTTGTCATTGTTCAAATGATAATAAACAAGCATATAAAGCATATTTGTCCACTCATATGTTGATAAGAGTATTAAAAACTTGAAAAATATCCCTCTAAGGTACATTTAGAACAGATAAAAAATGTGCGATTAATTTGCGATTAATCGCGATTAACTATTTTAATCGACTGACAGCCCTAATTTATATACATTCTCGCGAGATCTACCAGGGGTCATTGTAAGTTAAAGCGCGAACTGTTACTTGGCTAATGTTGTTATAATTCTCAGTGTGTGAACACAGATCGAAAATGGAAAGATTTCTCACAAGTCAGTGTAAACGGCCGCGATCTCCAACGGAGCTGTGTGTGTGTGTGTGTGTGTGTGTGTGTGTGTGTGTGTGTGTGTGTGTGTGTGTGTGTGTGTGTGTGTGTGTGGTGTGTGTGTGTGTGTGTGTGTGTGTGTGTGTGTGTGTGTGTGTGTGTGTGTGTGTGTGTGTGTGTGTGTGTGTGTGTGTGTGTGTGTGTGTGTGTGTGTGTGTGTGTGTGTGTGTGTGTGTGTGTGTGTGTGTGTGTGTGTGTGTGTGTGTGTGTGGTGTTGAGGTGCCACAGCATGCCAGTTGAAACAGTGAACGATCGCTATTGTGCACGCTTAGGGTGTAATGGTATTATACACACATATTGTATGAGCACAGAAACAGTGTTCAAATTCTGCTTTTACAAACTTATTTTGGTTGTGCTTACCTTGCAAAGTAATGTTATAAGTGTCAAAGGAATGTTTTAATGTAAATATTAATGATAATATTGTAACGTGTCCAAGTTAATAGTTATTTCAGTTATCAGATGTGCAGTTTAGTACATTTGTAAAGTTATTTAGGCAATGCTGTTGGTGGGAGTTAGGGAGAGACCGCCCCTTCCAGGTGTGTGTGTGCGTTTTCCGGTGTGTGTGTGTAGGGAGTACGAGACGGTAGGAGTTGTGTTGGAGTGTGGGGAAAAGTCATAATGAGTGTTATACTATTGATTGGCTCTGTAAGGCGTGGCCGTCAATACCATAAAATAAAGAGAACGTTTTCGACATTGAAGGCTCGTGATCTGTGATCTTGAATAGCGGTGAACGCTACAATACGAACAGGCTCGTGCTTGGCCCACTGGGATTGTTTGTTTATTTATTTTGAAAATGAACTAGCAACGCCGTGCTGTCATATAGCAACTGCTAAGCTAATGCAGCAAAAAAATCCTGGCGCCGCCCATGGATATTAGTAGCCTTTAGCGTTTTATATGTTGTTACTTTAGGTAAAAATACATGCCTTCAACAACAACAACAACGATGAAGCATATTTGTTAGTTTGTTGTTGTTGTTTTATAACTCAGATGAAGAGGATGTGCCCTGGTTCCCGATGAAGATCTCTGAGCTGGATCAGTGTTCTCACAGAGTCCTGATGTACGGATCGGAGCTGGACGCGGACCACCCTGTGAGGACTATCACATGCTACCTTATCATATGATGTTATATTATTCATTCTGCATCTCTTATGTTTGTCCACTAGACACATGGGATCAAAATATTCTTTACCTCATTAACTTTTATTAACTAATTATAATAAATGAAATCCTTGAGATGAAGTGTGTGAGGCTTTAATCTGTGTTTAAGAATATTTGAATATTTGTTATGGGTGATGTGCTTCTTCCTGTAGGGCTTTAAGGATGAGGTGTACCGGCAGAGGAGGAAGTACTTCGTGGAGGTGGCCATGAATTATAAATTGTGAGTAAGAAAGACAGCATTGTACGGGAGAAGTTAAAAGATCAGATTTATGTTTTAATATGCTAATGAGGCGTAATGTGATGCTAACAGGAGGTCCCTGCAGATTCAGAGTTATTTAAAGGTCTCCTATCATGCTAAATGCACTCTCTGATGTCTTCTCTACATCACCATGTGTCCCCGGTGTCCCCCCGGTGTGTCCCTGGTGTGTCCCTGGTGTGTCCCTGGTGTGTCCCCGGTGTGTCCCCGGTGTGTCCCCGGTGTGTCCCCCGGTGGTGTCCCGGTGTGTCCCCGGTGTGTCAGGAGACTCTCAAAGTGTCAGAAATAAACCCCTCTCTCTTTTCCTCCGTACCCACATCTCTAAAAACGGGGGAACAACGGAGCTGATCCAGATTTGCTGCGTCATGACGACATTACTAAAATGTGGGCGGGCTTTACACCCACGGGCCAATCAGAAAGGTTGCTGTCAGAAACAATGAGACGTGTTCTGGAAGTAATATGGTCTGTGTTTACATTAGCATGCTAACACTCAGAGCTAACCTGTACTGGAGAGAGTATGTGTGAAGAAGCAGGAAATCAAAAGGAAGTCACCTTGTGGTAAACCTGAGAGAGAAAGAGTTTGAGCTCCATACTGTTTCAGAGAGAATCCTTCATGAAATCAAATCAAGTTTGTAAATATTTATATAGCACATTTTAAAAACGATTTTTGGTCGAGCCAAAGTGCTGTACATGCAATAAAAACACTTTCCTGCGATAGCAAACAGAAGACAATAAATTACAACAGCAAAAATAAAAATCAAACGTCATGAGAAATGTCAGGAGTCGTGCTCTGCTCTGACTAGAAGGCCAGGGAGAAGAAGTGAGTTTTTAGTGTTGATTTAAAAACCCCTAGGGTCTGGGCCGACCTCACATGGAGGGGCAGAGTGTTCCAGAGCCTAGGGCCAGCTGCTGAGAAGGCTCGGTGCCCTCGGGTTTTGAGCCTGGTCTTGGGCAATACCAGCAGCAGCTGGTCAGCAGACCTTAAAGCTCTGGCTGGGGTGTAGCGCTGGAGGAGTTCAGCTATATAGGCCGGAGCCAGCCCATTTAGTGCTTTGAAAACAAATAGAAGGATTTTAAAATCAATTCGGAACCGAATTGGAAGCCAGTGTAGTGAGGCCAGAATTGGGGTGATGTGGTCACGCTTTTTTTTTATGTGGTTTGGAACATGATATGGAGTTTCATCACGGCTGCATTTAGCTGAGTTTCTGCTGGGAGAGTTCTCCTGATGAGATCTACTCTCTCTCTGAAGCTACTGACCCAGAGTCAGCTCTTTAGTAACAGCTGGAAGAGAGGGGGGGGGGGGGGCTACAAGGATCTGTTTGGGGTTTGGAGCAGAACACTTCAGAGACATGTCCTTAGTAACAGCTGGAAGAGGGGGGGGGGGGGGGGGGGGGGGGGGGGGGCTACAAGGATCTGTTTGGGGTCTGGAGCAGGACACTTCAGAGACATGTCCTTAGTAACAGCTGGAAGAGAGGGGGGGGGGGGCTACAAGGATCTGTTTGGGGTTTGGAGCAGGACACTTCAGAGACATGTCCTTAGTAACAGCTGGAAGAGAGGGGGGGGGCTACAAGGATCTGTTTGGGGTTTGGAGCAGGACACTTCAGAGACATGTCTTTATATATTTGAGAGCTGTAATATATGACTAAAAATAGCATAATAGGAGACCTTTAAATAAACTCCTGGGTGAGGATTCAGATGTTTCTGATGTTATGGCAGATAGAACAGCAGGTATAATCTAGGTATGAAACAGTACACCTGTGATGCAGTGACGGTGTGTGTCTCCTCCCCAGCGGGCAGCCCATCCCTCGCATCGAGTACACCCCGGAGGAGGTAAGGACGTGGGGGGTGGTGTTCAGAGAGCTCAGCCAGCTGTACCCCTCCCACGCCTGCAGAGAGCACCTGAAGAACCTGCCTCTGCTGGAGAAACACTGCGGATACAGACAGGACAACATCCCCCAGCTGCAGGACGTCTCCCAGTTCCTCAGAGGTCTGTATCTGTATCATCATCATCATCATCATCATCACAAAGGTATCCCAACTGTAGCTGTGTACATGACATGATAGGCGCTTTCACACCGCAGTACTTTTCCCACAAAGGTTCATCAGAACTTAGTTCATCAGAACTCTTTAGTTCTCATGAACTAAGAGCAGATCGCGTTCACACCGGAATAAGTCCCTGGGGGAGGATTAGGCAAATGAAGCCGCTGACGTTACTTCTTCTTCTTCTGCTTTGGGTTTACTGGCAGGCCGCAAACAACTTCACGGCGTATACTGCCACCCGAAGTCCCCGGAGTTGGGGACTGGCTTCCGAGTAAATCGCCAGAACGCCAACACCTCCTCATCTCCACCGCTCCCATGTTTTCTTTTGTGTTGCCATAAGTTAGTCTCTCTGCGTTTGTGCGCTGGGCTAATGCTAATGCTAATAATGCTAATGCGAGGATAATAAAATGGCGGATTCACAAAACTTTTTGGGAGTTTTACGGGGCGTGGTTTGCAATCCGCCCAGCCAATCAGAAATAGGAACCTTTTTCTCCCACGAGAAAAATGGAAAAGGGGGTGAAAAGGTTCTCATTAACTAATTTTAGTTCCAGATTTTTTTGGTGTCAACGCAACATTTCGGAACTATATCGGAACTAAAGTGGGAAAAGTACTGCGGTGTGAAAGCGCCTCATGATGTATGATTACCTAGAAGAGCACCAGGACTGTTTTAGGCATATGATAGCTATGTGATTAACATGATGATTCAGCCTCTATGGAGATAGACATATGACAAGCATGCTCATTTCTGACGTGGAGCTAATCTGAAGTAAACATTGAATACTGCTTTCTATTCCTCCATCTTGTGACTGTGTAACTCCCTCTCTTGGATATCAGCATGTGAAGGACACTGTTCAGGAACTAGTTGATGCTCTGTATGTGATGACTACTTCCATTCTGGAGAGGATCACAGATACATGGATCCTGAGGTTGAAGCTCAAGCCGGAGACCAGTGATTATTAACATTTTAAGTGTTCAGAAAAATACAGAATTTTGAGATTTTGAGAAAAAGTCATAATTTTGAGATTTTGAGAAAGTCATAATTTTGAGATTTTGAGAAAAATTCATAATTTTGAGAGAATGTCATAATTTAGAGATTTTGAGAAAAAGTCATAATTTTGAGATTTTGAGAAAAAGTCATAATTTTGAGATTTTGAGAAAAATTCATAATTTTGAGATTTTGAGAAAAATTCATTAATTTTGAGGGAAATTCATAATTTTGAGGAAAATTCATAATTTTGAGAAAGTCATAATTTTGAGAAAGTCATAATTTTTAGAAAAATTCATAATTTTGAGATTTTGAGAAAAAGTTCATAATTTTGTGATTTTGAGAAAAAAAAATGGTCTGAATTTTGAGATTTTGAGAAAGTCATGATTTTGAGAAAAAGTCATCAATTTTAGAAAAAGGTCATCATTTTGAGAATTTGAGAAAAAAGTCATCATTTTGAGAATTTGAGAAAAAAGTCATAATTTTGAGGAAAATTCATAATTTTGAGAAAAAGTCATAATTTTGAGAAAGTCATAATTTTTAGAAAAATTCATAATTTTGAGATTTTGAGAAAAAGTTCATAATTTTGTGATTTTGAGAAAAAAAAATTGTCTGAATTTTGAGATTTTGAGAAAAAGTCATGATTTTGAGAAAAAGTCATAATTTTGAGAAAAAGTCATAATTTTGAGAAAAAGTCATAATTTTGAGAAAAAGGTCATAATTTGAGAAAAATTCATAATTTTGAGGATGTTTGAGCACCAATTCATAATTTTGAGGAAAATTCATAATTTTGAGAACAATTCATAATTTTGAAGAAAAATTCATAATTTTGAGGAAAATTCATAATTTTGAGAAAAGTCATAATTTTGAGTCATAATTTTTAGAAAAATTCATAATTTTGAGATTTTGAGAAAAAGTTCATAATTTTGAGATTTTGAGAAAGTCATGATTTTGAGAAAAGTCATAATTTTGAGAAAAAGTCATAATTTTGAGAAAAAGGTCAGAATTTTGAGAAATTCATAATTTTGAGATTTTGAGAAAAAGTTCATAATTTTGTGATTTTGAGAAAAAAAAATGGTCTGAATTTTGAGATTTTGAGAAAGTCATGATTTTGTGAAAGTCATAATTTTGAGAAAAGTCATAATTTTGAGAAAAAGGTCATCATTTTGAGAATTTGAGAAAAAAGTCATAATTTTGAGAATTTGAGAAAAAAGTCATAATTTTGAGAATTTGAGAAAAAAGTCATAATTTTGAGGAAAATTCATAATTTTGAGAAAAAGTCATAATTTTGAGAAAAGTCATAATTTTGAGAAAGTCATAATTTTGAGAAAAATGTCATAATTTGAGAAAAATTAATAATTTTGAGATTTTGAGAACAATTCATAATTTTGAGGAAAATTCATAATTTTGAGAACAATTCATAATTTTGAGGAAAATTCATAATTTTGAGGAAAATTCATAATTTTGAGAAAAAGTCATAATTGAGTCATAATTTTTAGAAAAATTCATAATTTGAGATTTTGAGAAAAAGTTCATAATTTTGAGATTTTGAGAAAGTCATGATTTTGAGAAAAAGTCATAATTTTGAGAAAAAGTCATAATTTTGAGAAAAAGGTCATAATTTTGAGAAAGTCAGAATTTTGAGAAATTCATAATTTTGAGATTTTGAGAAAAAGTTCATAATTTTGTGATTTTGAGAAAAAAAAATGGTCTGAATTTTGAGATTTTGAGAAAGTCATGATTTTGAGAAAGTCATAATTTTGAGAAAAAGTCATAATTTTGAGAAAAAGGTCATAATTTTGAGAATTTGAGAAAAAAGTCATAATTTTGAGAATTTGAGAAAAAAGTCATAATTTTGAGGAAAAAGTCATAATTTTGAGGAAAAAAAGTCATAATTTTGAGAAAGTCATAATTTTGAGATTTTGAGAAAATGTTCATAATTTTGAGATTTTGAGAAAGTCACAATTTTGTGATTTTGAGGAAAAAAAATTGTCATAATTTTGAGATTTTGAGAAAAAAAAAATGGTCATAATTTTGAGATTTTGAGAAAAAGTCATAATTTTGAGATTTTGAGAAAAAGTCATAATTTTGAGATAAAGTCATAATTTTGAGATTTTGAGAAAAAGGTCATTTTGAGAATTTGAGAAAAAAGTCAGAATTTTGAGGAAAAAAAGGCAGAATTTTGAGAAAAAGTCAGAATTTTGTACACGACAGGATGTATGATTACCTAGAAGAACCGGTATTCCTCCATCTTGTGATGTGTAACTCCCTCTCTTGGATAGTTGATGCTCTGTATGTATGTATAGGATCACAAATACATGGATCCTGAGATTGAAGCTCACGACTTTGACCAGTGATTATTAATTTTATTAAGAATTTGGACACTAGTTACAACTATCCCAAATACTATGAAATACTTTTACTGTGTACTTCTTGATACTCTCCTGTCAAAGTCCCCTCCATGGTACAACAATGCCTGTCTTGCTGCTATATGTGACGAGCAATACAAATACTTTTAAGTTCGAAGACTGATCATTTTGGACTCAGTAGTTAGACTACTAGCGCAAAGACTATAAAATACTTTTATTTTGTACTTTCAGAGAAATCCTCTGTCAAATTGTCCACCCTGAATAGATGCTCCTGTCTGTCAAACACAAGCAGAAACATTACTTTCCAAAAATGGAAAGTTATCTTGGTCCCGCTGCCCACGTGAAAAACAGGGTACGTTTAGTGCTGCTAATGTAATGAAAATGGCTAGTAGTGTTTTATTTAAATGGATATTTAGATAGTCAACTAAGAAACTAAAGTAGAAAATAAAGTACTTGAAACGTAACAATTTAGAATATGATCATTTTCTTGAGCTTTAAACTCCTGGGGTCAAAATGACCACCAAGGATAGAGGGTGTAAAGCAAATGTGAAGATAAAGGAGGGTTAAGAATACATTATATAGCAGTTTTAAAGTCTATTTTAACACACTATTGAGTTGGCTTTTTCATTACATTTAAAATATAAATTGTACCTAAAATAATACGGAGTGAGCAGGGTATACATATTCACACCATATGCAATCATAGGATATTTTTAGTTCCAAAGATATTTGTCCAAATTGACTACAAATAGTACAAATGCAAAACATAAAAAAAAAGAAAGATGTTTGGTGAGTGAAGTCCAAAGCCGTATGATAGATTATGTAATTACAAGGTGAGAGAAAATAAATCCACATCGTCCTATTAAACTTGTATCTTTCAATTTGTTAGTACATTTTTCTCAGAAAAACCTTTTCTAAATTAAAGTAAATTATTTAAAAAGGTTGAATAGTTGAAATTGAACGTAAACTGTGTCAAACACCACTCCTGAAATTGACTTTGGTTGAAGTTTATTATAATATTGATATTATATAAAGATCTATATATAACATTGATTAAGCCTTATGGGTCCCTTTTAAAATATATGTATATTTTGTATAATGTTCTGGGCTGACAGTGCCTTATTTTCAATTTGAAAACACATGGCAATTGTATTAATACAGCAGATGAAAAGATTTGCAATTCTTCATGGGTGTCATTGGCTCTGTAGATAAAGGCAGTCTCTGTTTGCTAACCTCAGATATTGATTTATTTATAAGTGACCTTTGAATACATATTGCAAACATCGCCTTAAAAAGGTGCAGGAAAAGGACTTCAAATATGACTTAAAGACTGGACTTTTTAATTCAGTCAAGAGAAGAAAGGAAAGAAAATTGTTATAAGGGGTGATGTAACATTAATGACAGACATAATATGGCTAGGGAGGCTGTGGCTGATCGTGCGTTGATCTTTGGATCAGGGGGGGCTGGTTCAATCCCCACTGCAGTCAGCATGTCGTTGTGTCCCTGGGCTTCACCCCAAATAGCTCCTGTGAGGATTGTCCACAGTATTGAGTGAGTCGCTTTAAGGTAAAAGCAACTAACAAGTGACACGTAGAGGTCAGTGGCGCTCAGACTCTACAGGGGTCATCTTGTGATCATGGGGCATCACCCCTGTACAGCATCAGGACAATATCTCTATGGAGTCAGACACTGAAAGTGTGCTGGAGGCTGATGCGTTGACTGGGACAGATGGAAAGATGAGGCTGATGAGACTGAAGAATCTGCGAGGAACGAACTAGGGGCAGAGAAATAATCATATTTTAACCCTTTAATTGCCAGACCAAGAAGAAATCTATGGACAAATTATTTCTTTGCATTTTGTTATCAAATAGGACAAAGAACCACAAACCATTTTTATTTTCTTTACTGACCAAACAGTTTTTGTTTTTTTAGCCTCTACCAACTGGTCGAGCTGGTCAACAATCATCATATAGTACAGTATTTGTATGCATCAAACTCAAATAAAACACAAACACATTTTTTCTTTTATGGAAGATGAGCAATACCAGATATATTCATGAAAAATAATAAATTATAATTGTAAAACAAAAAAGAAATGGAAAAAAGTAATGGAAAGTGTTTTTCATTATAAAAAAAAAAACGTGCTCATCTTACTGTAGATGCTGAATTGGCCTAACAACAAACAACTGGCCTAACAGCAAATGTCTACATCCTGTGTTGGCCTAACTTGCTCATCTGTGTGCAACTTTGGGCTGCATTTCATGCATGAAAGGTGCTATATAAATGATTATCGCTCTTTCACTCTGAGACTCATAAGGCAGTACTAGATTTAGTCATATTACCATGAATCTAGCATTATTTACCATATTTTATTGGAAAACATCTCTGAAACTCTGAAAAAGTCGTATTGCTAGTTTACAATATGAAGGCCAATTCGTTGAGCATATTTTCAAAAAAGTAATTACACCCTTGTTACAAAAATGTTTTGTGCATTATATATATAATTATTAGTTATATAATTATGTTCAGTAAGTGCTCTGACACTAAAATATGTCAACAATGACATGGTTACCTTACAAAAGTTGACCAAAAAGAGTGATTTCTTCAGGAGTGATTTTTAGCATGCCAACTTTCTCAGTGGAAGCTAGCTGAAGGGCTTTCTGTTCAAACCACAGTGACATCTAGAGGTTGTTTTGTGCATAACATGTCAACCAAACGACAGAGCTGAATCAGATGGAGTTACACTTTTTTATTTATTTTTCAACAAGATATCAAAACACAAAATGTGCTCTACCAAATGGTGGCGCTGGCTGCTAAAGGTTAAGACAGCATCATCATAAGAGGCCAACAAGAGTGACAGGGTGTGTCACTTTGCTGAAGGATAGACCAGCAGGATATTCTCTGAAGATTTCCCAAAGGGTAAAAGCTGCTGCTGGAGTACTGACTGGAAGTAGTGCTGATATCATGTCTACCATATCCTCTTCAAATACTCTGTCCAACAATATAAGTCTAATGACACATTTTTATTTAAAGTGGACCGATCATGCTATATTTGAATAACATAGTGTAGGACCATACCTATATAAGGCATATTTATACTTTATTTTTTTCAAAATACCAAACAGATCATGCATTTTAGCCATGCCTCATTTTGCTCAATTTGCACTTATTTAGCCCTGTTTTTGCAAGGGCTGATTCAGTGAGAACAGCGCCACTTACAGGCCTGGCATATGTACTACAGCGTCTCCAGGGCTTTTGAACGGCAATGGCCGTGGCTGTCTCCTCCTGATTGGTGGAGTTGGCCCAATAGCCGTAGCGCCACCGTCCTGACGTCAGGACAGTGTTCAAATCTGGATCAGTTTTTATCAGATCCGTTGCAGCCCCTTTTTTAGAGATTTGGGTATGGAGGAAAATAGAGAGGGTTGTGTTTTCTGACACTTGGTGAGTTCCCTGGAACACCGGGGACACATATTCATGTAGAAAAGACGTACACAAGTGCATTTTGCATGATAGGTCCCCTTTAAGATGAATTATTGTACTAAGGAGGGGAATTTGAAAAAGAATACCTGAAAAAGTACTTGTTGGTGTAGTTAAATTAGTCAAACAGTAACACTCTCATTAAGAATTGATGGCAGAACATCATTTTATCTCTCATCAAAGATAGCAGAAAACATGCATTATTGTACTCAAGAGGGGAGTTTGACAGAGTACACAGTAAAAGTACTCCAAATAGTATTTATCAATCCTCAACCTCCAAGCTATTTTAATATAGATTTGAAGAAAAAAACCTCGATGCTGACTTGACCACGCAAACGGGAAATACGGCCGCGTCAATTCAGCAGTGTGTCAGTAACATCAAACAGAGAGATACTCTACTTTATAAGATAGGGATTCATGGCTGACAGTGCAAGACAGACAGCCAGATAGACAGATCGCGAGACAGACAGACAGACAGACAGACAGACAGATCGCGAGACAGACAGACAGACAGACAGACAGACAGACAGACAGACAGATCGCGAGACAGACAGACAGACAGACAGACAGACAGACAGACAGACAGATCGCGAGACAGACAGACAGACAGACAGACAGACAGACAGACAGACAGACAGACAGACAGATCGCGAGACAGACCGACAGATCGCGAGACAGACCGACAGACCGACAGACAGACAGACAGACAGACAGACAGACAGACAGACAGACAGACAGACAGACAGACCGACAGACCGACAGACCGACAGACATACGCACCCACACACGGACAGACTGTCTTCTGCATGTTTTGCATGTAGCCATATATTCAATGTTGTGCAAACACGCACTGCAAAGAGTATGAACCTTTATTTTGAAGAGTACAGCGCAAGCATAGGGCAAACTAGCCAATCAGAAGCAAGGAGGCACTGGAGACCCACCCACCTATGGAAAAGAAACATTGAGTGGTATACTTGTTTTAACAGTAAGAACAGAAAAACGAAAAAACGAGCTGAATTTCCGTTTTTTGGTTTTGGGGCAAAATTGAAAAACTAAAAAACGACCCGTTTCTGTTTTATTATTAGTTTCAATTAGAACTAAAAAACAAACGGTTAAAACGTACCTTGGTCGGATCCATGTATTTATTATCCTCTCATTCTTGAGAGGATAATAAAAATGTGAAGTATTCAGAAAAAGTCAGAATTTTGAAATTTGAGAAAAAGTCAGAATTTGGAGATTTTTAGAATCATCATCATAAATATCATCATCATCATCATCATCATCATAATATTACATCCTGCTTACCTCAGCATATAAAGACACATCAGAATCAGAAATCCCAACAGTATTGTGTGTGTGTGTGTGTGTGTGTGTGTGTGTGTGTGTGTGTGTGTGTGTGTGTGTGTGTGTGTGTGGTGTGTGTGTGTGTGTGTGTGGTGTGTGTGTGTGTGTGTGTGTGTGTGTGTGTGTGTGTGTGTGTGTGTGTGTGTGTGTGTGTGTGTGTGTGTGTGTGTGTGTGTGTGTGTGTGTGTGTGTGTGTGTGTGTGTGTGTGTGTGTGTGTGTGTGTGTGTGTGTGTGTGTGTGTGTGTGTGTGTGTGTGTGTGTGTGTGTGTGTGTGTGTGTGTGTGTGTGTGTGTGTGTGTGTGTGTGTGTGTGTGTGTCAGAGCGCTCTGGCTTCACGGTGCGTCCTGTGGCTGGGTATCTCTCTCCCAGAGACTTCCTGTCTGCTCTGGCCTACAGAGTGTTCAACTGCACTCAGTACGTGAGGCACAGCACCGACCCGCTGTACACCCCCGAGCCGTGAGTACACCCCGATCCTTTCAAGTCTTCATCACCATGTGCTCAGCAGCTACAGATATGTCAATGAAAAACTGAAGTCCTCCTCCAACAGAGCAACATGAATATATATATAGGACATCAAACTAATAAAACAGATGAAATAGAGCAAGAGAATGTTTTGAGATGTGCAAGTAAATACAAATAAAATAGAAATAGTGCAAGAATAGTCTGTATACAAGTACATGGAATATGATATATAGATAAATAATTCGCAAGATGCAAACAGATGAATGTTTATGGACGTTCTTCACAGTCTTATGGCCTGTGGGGTGAAACTGTCTCTGAGTCTGGTGGTTTTAGACCTGATGCTGCGGCACCGCCTGCAGACAGAACAGTTTGTTGTTGGGGTGATGGGGGTCTCTGATAATCCTATCAGAGCTGTTCCGTAGTGCAAAACGCCTTAACTCTGAAGACAGAATAACCTGAATCTTCCCTGGACCTTCTTCAAGTCTTCTTTGGATCTTCCCTGTTATTAATATGTAGTTAACATGTTATTATGGATATAAGTTATTGACATGTTATTACCGCTGCAGCGACACGTGCCACGAGCTGCTGGGTCACGTCCCCCTGCTGGCCGACCCAAAGTTCGCTCAGTTCTCGCAGGAGATCGGCCTGGCGTCTCTGGGAGCGTCGGACGAGGACGTCCAGAAGCTGGCCACGGTGAGTCACGTTAATAACCTCCAGGTATGATCACGTGACTCCTGAGGACACGGAGGTCATTACTCTGGTTAGGTCCGTTAATGATCCACAGCTTCTCATGAGGGACGAACAGACGCACTCATCACAGTACTCCCATTGAGAGCTATTAGAGCAGAGTTTAATAAAATACTGCTTTGGATCAAATCAGCTCTCCATCTGCAGCTTCAGATTGAACTTTACAATATTTTCCCACAAGGAGGAGACATTTCCCCATGTTTGCCCATTGGGACACATACAAGCTACTTAACCTGTTAAGCCCGAGAGACCCCGGTACCGGGGTACTGCCGCAACATCTTGCAGGAAACAGTGTCTGAGGGCATGTTCATTTAATAAAACTATGAATGTTTTATATCCATGTAACGGGAAGAAACTCATCTAACTGATCATTTTTTTTTTTTTTTCAAAAGAAAACCCACAATGCTAACTCTGAGCCTCTGAATTAGCAACGAGCGAAAAATGCTAACAGATTACTGCACCGAAAATCACTCACAAAACCTTATTATTTATCTTTTCTGCACCTCCATGACATCGTTTCACATCGTGAGGTGACACAGAATCTATTGACACCGACATTATCACTGAATTATACGTATTTGCGACATTATAAGCAAAAACGGACATCAAAACAGGTGACGCTAGGTAGCTAAAAATGCTAACATTTTTACCTTGGCTCTGTAGTCTCTCCAAAGTGGTCTTCAATGGCATTAAAACGATAAAAACGCTGCTGAAGTTAATCCATAGGTTAATCTAATGTGTCTGTGTCCATTTGAAATGATTTCTGATAATACATAAGCATTAAAACTGCTTTTCCGTTTCCAGATGTCAAAGCTAGAGATAGGTTCACTCTGATGAAAAATTACATGCGCGAAGCCCCCACCTTTTCTCTTCACAACGTGTGTGTGTGGGGAACTCCCCCTTCGATTCTATTGGCTCTAACGGTCAGAAAGAGGTGTCAACCATCAAAATCGAGCAAGGGGGGCCAGAGATATGGAAAATCCACCCAAATGACCCCAGAAGTGGTTTCTTTTGGCTAAACCTCTCTAAAAAGGTCAAATGTCACTTGTTTTGCATCAATCTTGATACAGGGTACTTATTATATGTTGTACTTTGGATTCCTAAAGCTTTTAGTCTACTAACCCATCATCCAAGGGTAGTTTTCACTATAAGTAAAAAATAATTTTTGGACGGACACAATAATTTACAGTTTTTTACTATGTTCAATCTGAATTTTCTTTAAAATAAAAAACATCTATATTGATTCTGACTTTTCTACATCCAACTCACAGGTTTATCATTACTTTGAGAAAAAAGATTATTAATTTAACCCTTTTAGAAGGGAAGATATGGTCATTTGTTCTGGGAATGTCATTTTCGAGCCTGAGACCTGAAAAACAGGCTCAGAGCTTAACAGGTTAAGTTATGTATGTTATTTTATGTAAGGTAACGTTATGTCATGTTATGTGTTGTTAAGTAACATTTTGTTGTGTTTTGAACAGTGTTATTTCTTCACCATCGAGTTTGGACTCTGCAAACAGGACGGTCAGCTGAGAGCCTACGGAGCCGGGCTGCTGTCATCTATAGGAGAGCTGAGGGTGACACACACACACACACACACACACACACACACACACACACACACACACACACCACACACCACACACCACACACACACACAATAGTATATTTGATTGAGGACGAAACAACATGTTTTCCGTGTGTTTCCCAGCATGCCCTGTCGGGGGCGGCCTGTGTGAGGATGTTCGACCCGAAGACGACCTGCAGACAGGAGTGTCTCATCACCACCTTCCAAGACGTCTACTTCGTGTCCGAGAGCTTCGAGGAGGCCAAGGAGAAGATGAGGTGAAACACACACACACACACACACAGCGTTACTACACTGCCTTTACACTGCGACGTGAAGTGAAGTTCTTCTTATGCCAGATAATGCTGTAGCTGGTCCTCTGAAGTCTTCAAAGTCCTGGAGCAGGCGATCTCCTTACTCGTCAAATTATGGGACTTTGACGCTCCACTCGAGGTCAGTCTTGGACGTGCAGTGACCTCTAGAGGCTGAAATGATAATGACGGGAGTGAAGGAGGACGTCCAGAGACACAGAGCGAGAAAACCGAGGTTTGGAGGAAGTCACCAGACCCTAACCAGGAGACTGTTCTTTGTCCCGTGTGAAACAAGATTATATTTGTCCTGTTTATTGGTCATCGTTATTTTAGCCCAAACCAAGATCTTACTCTAAACCTGAGCGAGTATTTTCCTGTGAATAACTTCATTTTGAAAAGACTGCTGGACAATCATAGAAGAACCTCCGCCTGGATCCATCTTCCTCTTCTTCTAAGGACACATGATCTTTTCCAGCATTTGGACTACCTATGTTTTAAATGTATTACCTTTTTCATTTACAACACCTCCTCGTCTGTTGCTCTCCCCCAGGTTTCTTCCATTCTTCCCCGTTAACTGTGGGGTTTCTTTGGGGGTGTTGCCTTTTACGCTGCGGGGGTATAAGGACAGCGTGTTATTCTGTGTAACCTGTGAAGCCCCCTGAGGCACTTGTGTCACTTTTTGGGCTAAATAAATTAATTTGATTGATTGAAGTTGACGAACACTGGAGGAGTAACTTTGACAGATATCATACAGAGTGTTAAAATGAAGATACGTTGCCCGTGTGACACCAAAAGTCAACGCTGAGTGATTTTAACGCACACTGTAAATAACAACCGTTCTTATCTCCACCCAAACGGTCGGTATTTGACTTAAAGTTTATTTGACTTATATTTTATTATACTTCAAGTTTAATTGACTTAAAGTTAATTTGACTTAAAGGTGGGGTAGGTAAGTTTGAGAAACCGGCTCGAGATCGTTAGAATTTGAAAATACACAACCGGAGAAAATCTTCCACTTCCTTACAGAGCCCCTCCTCCAACACACACGAACGCGCACATGATCAATGAGGGCACGAGATAAGTTTGTGCACAGATGGAAGGCTGACAGGCAGGTAGGTCATCCAGTTATTTTAGCCGGGCCGGCTCAGATGATTGGTCGTGCTTTTTACAGAACTACAGCTTCCACAGATGACATTTTGTTATGGATTTTTTGTCAAAGCACTTCAGATATTCATTGCTATCGGGATGTTAAGAGCATTCCATGGAATATAACAACAAGTGTATCTCGAGCCGGTTTCTCAAACTTACCTACCCTACCTTTAAGGTTTATTATACTTAAAGTTTATTTGACTTAAAGTTTATTATACATAAAGTTTATGTTGACGGTCACACCTTGTCTCCTCTCTCTCAGGGAGTTTGCGAAGTCGATAAAGCGTCCGTTCTCCGTGTACTACAACCCGTACACGCAGAGCGTCGACCTGCTGAAAGACACGCGCGGCATCGAGGACGTGGTGCAGGACCTGCGCAGCGACCTGAACACCGTCTGCGACGCGCTGGGCAAGATGAACACCTACATGGGCATCTGATTGGTTCAAATAATCACCTGTGTTCATGTGAGGGCTCTGATTGGTTCAAATCATCACCTGTGTTTATGTGAGGGCTCTGATTGGTTCAAATCATCACCTGTGTTCATGTGTGGGCTCTGATTGGTTCAAATCATCACCTGTGTTTATGTGAGGGCTCTGATTGGTTCAAATCATCACCTGTGTTCATGTGTGGGCTCTGATTGGTTCAAATCATCACCTGTGTTTATGTGAGGGCTCTGATTGGTTCAAATCATCACCTGTGTTCATGTGTGGGCTCTGATTGGTTCAAATCATCACCTGTGTTTATGTGAGGGCTCTGATTGGTTCAAATCATCACCTGTGTTCATGTGTGGGCTCTGATTGGTTCAAATCATCACCTGTGTTCATGTGTGGGCTCTGATTGGTTCAAAACATCACCTGGGTTTATGTCTGGGCTCTGATTGGTTCAAAACATCACCTGTGTTCATGTGTGGGCTCTGATTGGTTCAAATCATCACCTGTGTTCATGTGTGGGCTCTGATTGGTTCAAATCATCACCTGTGTTCATGTGTGGACTCTGATTGGTTCAAAACATCACCTGGGTTTATGTCTGGGCTCTGATTGGTTTAAAACCTCCCTTCCTGTTTCATAAATGTAAGTAAGATTTGCTGTCTAATGGGTCCGATGCTGTAAAGAGTAATACACTTTATCGATGCGTAACCACATCATCTCAAGCTTTATACGTCAGGTGAAGCAGAGTCTGGGCTGCCAGGTTGTGAAGCGCTGGTTAAAAAATAAAAAGCTGTTTCTGATCCATGATAAATGTTTACCGTGTTAAAGTCAGCAGATGTTCCTCATTTGTTTCTGTCTCTCTTTTGACAGATGCTTGAAGAAGTCAGATTCTCTGTAACTATAATAAATACATGTGGATTTAACCCTGAAACTGTGGGATTGATGATTTATAGTTCCCGTTGTTTCGGCAACACGCCGACCAACCAGAGCCCCAGATCACCTCAGTGTGTTTCCTGGTTTTTATTATCATTATATGTTCATGTCTCTAACGTAATTATCCCCATGGGAGGTTCAAATAGATAGATGACTACTTTATTGATCCCAAATTGGGAAGTTATTTTGTTGCAGCAGCAAAGTGTACAAGCATTAAAATCCTAAAGATGAGTTTCCTCCACAAAGCCACAGGCCAATAACAACGCTGAAGCTGAGCGTCAGGTATTCCATTATTTTATTAGAACACAAAGAAGAACGGCTCAACACGTTTATCTGTACGTTCAAACATCAACACACTGCGGCAGGGAATAAACAGAATATCGCTCATCACACACATCTCATTGTTGTTAAAGGGCAACAGGAGAGACTGATGGAGCAGCTTCAGGTGGGAGGGGGTGTACATTGTTGGAATGATGTTAAAACTGAATCAAATGAAAGAAAAACGTGTACAAATAAGAATAACATCACGACTAACATCAAAGTAATAACTCGACTCCAAAGTCCAGCCAGCAGTCCTGAGTCCTGGTGCCTCAGCAGGTCCGAGGTCACTTTCCCCTGTGGAGGCCTTTGTCTGGTAGTTTGAGCTTCTTTCTACAGCTCACCCTGTTCCACCTTTAGTTTCCTGGTAAGCAATTTACAAAGTAGTTCTTTCTGTTCAATCAAATTAAAGCCCATTTCATATATTTCAGTATAACTCAAAGAGGCAGGATTTAAAGGTCTCTAACGGCTATTCAAACAGAAATCCAAGGAGAAGCCTCCATTTCTAACACCAACATTTAAAGGTCCCATGTCATGGCCATTTCCACTGATCATAATTCCATTGTTGAGGTCTACTAGAATAGATTTATATTGTGCATTGTTCCAAACTCACATTGGTTTCTCATACAGCATCTCTCCAAACTCACATTGGTTTCTCAAACAGCATCTCTCCAAACTCACATTGGTTTCTCATACAGCATCTCTCCAAACTCACATTGGTTTCTCAAACAGCATCTCTCCAAACTCACATTGGTTTCTCATACAGCATCTCTCCAAACTCACATTGGTTTCTCAAACAGCATCTCTCCAAACTCACATTGGTTTCTCAAACAGCATCTCTCCAAACTCACATTGGTTTCTCAAACAGCATCTCTCCAAACTCACATTGGTTTCTCATACAGCATCTCTCCAAACTCACATTGGTTTCTCATACAGCATCTCTCCAAACTCACATTGGTTTCTCATACAGCATCTCTGTAAACTCACATTGGTTTCTCATACAGCATCTCTCCAAACTCACATTGGTTTCTCAAACAGCATCTCTCCAAACTCACATTGGTTTCTCATACAGCATCTCTCCAAACTCACATTGGTTTCTCAAACAGCATCTCTCCAAACTCACATTGGTTTCTCAAACAGCATCTCTCCAAACTCACATTGGTTTCTCAAACAGCATCTCTCCAAACTCACATTGGTTTCTCAGACAGCATCTCTCCAAACTCACATTGGTTTCTCATACAGCATCTCTCCAAACTCACATTGGTTTCTCATACAGCATCTCTCCAAACTCACATTGGTTTCTCATACAGCATCTCTCCAAACTCACATTGGTTTCTCATACAGCATCTCTCCAAACTCACATTGGTTTCTCAAACAGCATCTCTGTAACTACGTGTATTCACTGAATTTCACTCTCTGCCTTTAACGGCTCGTTGTAGCTCCAATAGCTCCAGCCCCCACCCTCCCTGTGAGCACAGTGTGCTCTGATTGGTCGGGACGTTGTGAATTGTGCTGAGCTCCGTGGAGGTGTTGTTTCCTTGTTTAGCATACATAGCGAAACACAGCCAAACTCATCCTGAGCACACACAAAGTCACAGCCGAAGTAAAAACAATAAGTGTGTCTTGATATTGAGTAAGAAAAAGGTTGATAAACGCTGTGAGAATGGGTCTGCAGAGAGAATGGGTCTGCGGAGAGAATGGGTCTGCGGAGAGAATGGGTCTGCGGAGAGAATGGGTCTGCGGAGAGAATGGGTCTGCGGAGAGAATGGGTCTGCAGAGAGAATGGGTCTGCAGAGAGAATGGGTCTGTAGAGAGAATGGGTCTGCTGAGAGGATGGGTCTGCAGAGAGAATGGGTCTGCTGAGAGGATGGGTCTGCTGAGAGAATGGGTCTGCGGAGAGAATGGGTCTGCAGAGAGAATGGGTCTGCAGAGAGAATGGGTCTGCAGAGAGAATTTGGCCGCGATTCCAACTGTCTGTTATCAGCCTGCAGCCAGGGAGGAGAAATCAGCTGAGCTGCCTGCTCCCTGCACACAGATGTGTGTGTGAGGAAGTCCGTGGATTGGTCAATTTGGACCAATCAGCTGGGGCTTAACATAACGGCTCCGCGGACGTAACGTAACGGCTCCACGGATTGGTCCATTTCGTTCCGGGTACGGGGTTACGTCACCCCGTACCCGGAAGAATCAAATGGACAATGACGTATCTCCAACGAGGCGTTTTGGGGAGGTATTTTCTGTGTTAGAGTTTTACTCGCTACAGGGTGTACTTTGAGGGTTTTGACTCTGCACACCGTTTACATGCATAAAAACCTTCATAACACAAGGGGACGGGTAATAACCGGAAAAGCATGACATGGGACCTTTAAATACTGAAGCAAATGTGGAAAAAAATTCATTCAAAATATTAGTGCCCTGAATTTACATGAATCGCTACAAACCTTGTGCAGCTTCCTCCACAGAAGTTGATGCTTGCTCTCCCCCGTTCATCACTTCTACATGATGGCTTTGAGATTCTACATATCAGAGCCACAAGAGCAAATTGAATTTGACCATGCATCTTTTACGATAGGATTATAATTTAAAATAATTCAGTTTTGAAATCATTGTGTCAGTGCCAATATCACTAAGTACCTTGCTCTCCCTGTCCCTCTGCATTGGATCTGTAATCCCCCTCTTCGACCACATCAGTACCCTCCACGACCACATCAGTACCCTCCACGACCACATCAGTACCCTCCACGACCACATCAGTACCCTCCACGACCACATCAGTACCCTCCACGACCACATCAGTACCCTCCACGACCACATCAGTACCCTCCACGACCACATCAGTACCCTCCACGACCACATCAGTACCCTCCTCGACCACATCAGTACCCTCCACGACCACATCAGTACCCTCCACAGGACAGAGATCAAGCACCACAAATTCAGTTTCTGTCGGAGATTTGGAGAGAAAAAAATGCTCAAATTAAAGGTAAACACATGGCTGTGCATTACAATGTATTTAGACATGCTTCTGCCCCACATAGCTACTCGTGGAATAGTCATACGTAGTTGAATGCAAATCTAGATCACAATAACAATACTAGTAGAAGAAGGAGTGGTGGGCAAGACTCCTGTAAAGCGCACACAAATGCCAATTTATTCAAGGCTCAATATTACTGAATTAAGGGCATCATTGGTTAATAAGCAAATGACCTTTTCAAGTGCTGTCTTTCAATCTAAATGCTTGCTTCCAATACATGGAAACAATAGTCATGAAGTCAAATTTTCCCGGTCACCTAAACTGTCCAACAAAACAGGTCAAGTTGAAAAATGTCAACACTTACCCAGATCTGTCCCACAATCTTCAATGGTTCCTTTTTTATTCTGAAACCTTCTGAAGTGCACTGTTGTATGAAAACATGAAAGAATATAATCGTTAAAAAAAATGTAAGCTCTAATATCAGATTTTAAATTACTTTCAAAGAAATCATCAATACAGTAAAAGATACTCACACTTTAATACTTTCGCATACACTGCTTTTATATCTTCTTCCAAGCAGTCATCCAGCTTCATCTGTATGCTGCTGAAGACATCTGCTGTGTAGCCATTCTTGTTCTTTTTCCCCAAAAGCAAAAGTGGAAAATACCCCAGAGCAGCAAGCCGGTCCAACTGAAATGGTAATAAGTAAATGCAAGTCATAAAGCCTGAATTTCACATCAGAAAAGTATATGATCCATGTGTTTAAAGGTCCCATGTCTCATGGCCATTTCTACTGATCATAATTCCATTGTTGAGGTCTACTAAAATAGATTTACATTGTTCAATGTTCCAAACTCACATTGGTTTCTCATACAGCATCTCTGTATAGTATGTGTATTCACTCTCTGTCCTAAACGGCTTGTTGGAGCTCCTGTCCCCCCCTCCCTGTGAGCCCAGTGGCCTTCTGCGAGACAGCGAGACACAGCGAAACCCAGCCCGAACACACACACACACACACACACACACACACACACACACACACACACACACACCCGCAGCCGCCCGGCTGGGAGTTTGTGTGTGTGCTCACACACCGACTCACAGCCTCGCCGCGTCCCGCCGTCTCAGGGAGGAGAAATCGGCGGAGCTGCAGCTGAGAAAAGATTGAGTGTGTGTGAGGAAGTCCGTTTGGACCAATCCGCGGACGTAACATAACGGCTCCACAGATTGTTCCATTTGGGTATGGGCACGTCACCATACCCATGAAGAATACAATGGAAAAAGAGAAATCCCCAACGAGGCGTTCTGGGGCAGCATAGACAGGTCTTCTCTGTGTTAGAGTTTTACTCCCTACAGGGTGCACTTTGAGGGTTTGTGACTCTGCAGACCGTTTACATGCAGAAGCTACAGAACACAAGGGGACGGGTGAGAACCAGAAAAGCATGACATGGGACCTTTAAGAAAACATGATGAAGTATGGTTTATTTACCTGTAGATTCAACGTAAATGAATAGGAAGTATATCACTCTTTCAAATATCAATAGTTCTGAGTCCTTCTGAAGTTTTATGAGCATTTTAGCCTGTGTTTCTTTCTCTAGCAGGACACTAAATAAAGAAGCCTTAAATTGATGAAACACTAAATATAGGGCCGATCAGTGGGCTGCTTTCCGACTATTTAAAGTTGTATGTAGTCAACAAAGGTCCAGTGTAAAATATTTAAAGTTGTGTTACCACTTGTGCTTACCATTTTGAAGCTGGAGTCTAGGACATGTGCTCCGTTGCAGTTTTTCTTTATTCTTTCTTTCCACTCCTTTTCCTCAGCGGCAAACCTTTGTCTTTCTTTAACCAGTCTGTCCTTGTGTGGCTGTTGGGCCTTACATTTAGGACATTTCTTGCATGCAACACAAATCTTGTCCTGGCATGTCACACATTTCTTGACATTGCGTATCCCCGACATGTCTGCACTCTGCAACAATAGGATGACGTTCACAGTTAGCTAGTTCTTGATAGTGACTTTAAAACATGAATGTTAGACTGTCCGAGTATTTTGTGCAATATGGTGCTGGTCAAGTGTTAGGAGAGCTATTTCTTGTAGGCCTATAGCCTATAATATTGCATGTACAAATGTACAGTTTTTGTCGGTAGCATAGCAACAAATTATATTATAACCCTTCTCTGTAGAATCTTCTCATGAAACGTCTGTATCAAGATGGACCAATTGCAAACACAACTAATGTTACTATCTAGCTCACATTAAGTTCATACAATAAATGTCTTACCCGTTGAGGTTCTGCAGAGTCTGGACATGTACCGCAAGTCCGCCAAAACTTACCGCACGCCGCCGAAAAGTAAGCGGAGTCTGCCAAAAATGAGTCCAGCACGCCCATCACTGCAACGACTGTATAAATCCCGCGTTATTATTTATTTTTTCCTGCGGCTCTTAGGGAATTGTAGTCTTTAAAATATATTTGCGTTAGCCTACTGAATTGAGAGTATTCTGACAAATGTAAGGGGATGGTTAAAACATTTGCAAATCAGATTTTAAATGTCCTATTGTAAAATGGGGGATAGGCTATTGAATTTTAACCATATTTGTGTTCTTTGTCTCCCTGTGGTTGCTGTGTGTCTCCTTGTAGTCATGTTGTGTCTCTTTGCAGTTGTTAACCATCTCTCTATAGTTTTGCATCTCTCTGTGATCACTGTGTGTCTCAGTGGTCTCTTATTGTCTCTTAGCAGATGTTTTGCATTTATTTTTTGTTGATTTGGTCTCTATGTAATGTGTTTGTGTGTCTTTGTAGTTGTTTGCTATAAATTGAAGCATTGATATTTCAAATTGATTCTTTTTTTCTGTTATTGATAAAAGTGTAATATCCTCCTGGGACCTGAGGAAAAAGTGTCTTCCAATTTCCTTTTTGTGTGATTTCCTACCTATTTAGGGTTGAAAAAAACATCTTGCAATTTCGACTTTTTTAATTTAATTTTTAAATGTTACAGTATGTCCACTGTAGAGGACGTCGGGACCATATTAGTTTGAAAAGACAGCCAAAATGAACAGATAGACAATAACGTATTATGGTTATAGAGTGACTTTAATACAATAACGTATTATGGTTATAGAGTGACATTAATACAATAACGTATTATGGTTATAGAGTGACTTTAATACAATAATACATTCACCGTTATTTAAAACATGAATAAGTAATTGATCTGAACATTGCTGTTTATTTGGTCTCTAAAAAACTAGTTTGGTTTTTGGTGAATCTTTCCAGATCTTCAAAGACGTTGTAGTCAATGTACTGGGGAAAGTACCTCATTGACTCCAGTCGGCACGGGCTGTAGGGTCATCTTGACTAGTTTTATGGATGTGGTCTCCATTTGACCATGCTCATAGAAACAAAGCTTGCATTCCTGAGGCAATTCTCATTTGTCCTGTCTCCACTTCAAATAAAAACAACAATAAGACATACGTGCTACTCTTGGCCCACAGAGGGCCATGTCTTTCCAGCTCGTCCCTATCTGTCTCTCTGTCTGTATCTGTGCGCTCATGGAGCCTCCTGCATCTTTCCCCCCCTTCTTCTTGACCCTCTTCTACCCCAGGTGTGAAACCCTCATCTCTCTCATCATCTGAGAGCTCAACATCTGAATCTCCCTGAACTATCTGGTACAGAAAATGTCTGCTTCAGTTCCGTCTCCTGCAACAATATTGAGTCATAAAGTCCATGAAGACGGTCCTGACGTCAACTAGAATGGACATTTATAAAAGGGCTGTTATTTGAAAACTTGAATTATTTAATTGCTTTCAGAACTAATTATATAGTTCCTCACATGTTAATAAACAAGAACTATATGATTTTCATGGTAAAAATTACAATTATTCAACAATATTTGACTTCTCCTGCTTCTATAACATTTTGTTTTTGGTATGCCAGTCATTTTGGATGAAAAGAAAGAGGAACTTCCCAGCATGCAATTTTAACCAATGACATATCAATGGAAAGACCAGGATGTCCTCTGTACAGTACATCAGGGATTGATAGAGTAGCTCAAAAGAGTAAAAGGAGATGCATGTTAACAAAATGTCCACCACAGTGGGCTGGGTCCCAGGAGGATATAGAAAAAAGTCAGGCAAACAATGGCAGCACAAACGGACAACGGCTAGTGCTAGTGCCCATGTCTTTATGTCCCACTCTCTCTCTCTCTCTGAGTGTGTACAGTATGTGTATGTGTGTGTGTCAGGTTGAACGAAAATGCCACTTTTAGGTTAAGGTTAATTATTATTCACATTGCCTGAAGCTAATGAGATGTGAGGTTACAACTGGGAAAGAGACCTGTCTCTCCTCACTTGATAATGAACTTTGGTGAAGGTCAAGAAGCGGTCAATGTGACGTAACGCCTCCAGGGCACGTGTGTGTAAGTATGATCCCGGGGTCTGCTCGGACTTTGATTTATGTATTTTGACGTAATAAAAGTTATATTGCATCGAACTCTGTCTGCCTCCAGCCACTTTCTTTTGAACTGGCCCAGACCGAGATTTCCGCCAACAACACATGCCTCACAAATGACGATCACAGGCTTGACCCTGTGGCACATAGGCCTACTCTAGGTCATCAGCATCAGAGATGTCCGACTCAGAATCAGGATCAACAAATGCTTCATCTTCCTCATCCTGTTCTTCATTAAGTCTCATCTCTAAGGCAATTTGAGCCGAACATCTTGGATGACTGCGACCAGCCATAATAACACTGTGGCTAAATAAAATCTAAATATTATTTTCAACTATCAGTTGATCAAGTATACAGTAGGCCTATACTGTAATATTTCGAGTTTTATTTTGTTTATTATATTGTTCAAGGTGTAGTGATCACTAATTAACTAGGTTACATCAGAGCCGTATAATAGAACGTATGATATATATATATAATATATTTATATATATAATATATATATAGAGATATAATAATATCTCTCTATATGGCGCTGGGTTACATCATTCACTCATGGAACTACAGGTTGGGGGTATTGTTTCCGCACGGACACATATGTTGTTGACTGTATTTATCGCGTGCCCTCCCTTTCGCTTTCTCTTTTCTTCCCGGGCTGCGACCCGACAACATGTGGTTTTCTGCTACTCATTAAAGTTCCCATTTGCACCTTCGATGCACCGCCTCCGACTCCTATCTCTCGGCACTACAAAGGTGAAGTTAATGAAAGAAGAAAATAAACATAATGTTGTTACCGTTAGATTTCTCTTTTTTGTTTTGTTTTACTTTGTACAAACATACTAATAATACAGCCGTTTGAAATACAGTTTCTGTTTGTGCTACCAACAGATACCACAGACCAAGCTTGATTTGTGTCTTCCTCAAGGAAACCATGGCTGGGCGACAGGCACCTCGAAGGACCTCTCTAAACTGGGATGAATCTGATAGTGATGAAGACAAGGAAGAAATCGACAAAATTAAAGCTAAACTGGGTGAAAAACTACAAAGAGGTAAAGTAATCCTTGAATTGATTGTTTATAAGATACATTCTTGGGTTTATGCAGCAGGTACTTTATGTAAAATGTCATCATTAAAGGTAGGGTAGGTAAGTTTGAGAAACCAGCTCGAGATCTCTAGAATTTGAAAATACACAACCTGCCACTTCCTCACAGAGCCCCTCCTCCAACACACACGAACGCGCACATGACCAATGAGGGCACGAGATAAGTGTGTGCACAGATGGAAGGCTGACAGGCAGGTAGGCCATCCAGTTATTTTAGCCGGGCCGGCTCAGATGATTGGTCGTGCTTTTTACAGTACTACAGCTTCCACAGATGATATTTATTTATGGATTTTTTGTCAAAGCACTTCAGATATTCATTGCTATCTGGATGTTAAGAGCATTCCATGGAATATAACAACAAGTGTATCTCGAGCCGGTTTCTCAAACTTACCTATCCTACCTTTAATGTTTTAATCAATGCTTTTAAATCCATTGTGTAATGTCTGAATGTACAGTACTGCTCTAACTAGCTTTTAACTTGTAACTTTCCAACAATCTTTGTCCAAAAAAATCTACTACAAATGTCCACTTTGTCTAATAGAGATTAACAAATGCCAATATTAAACCTATTCACGTCTGCAAACATCCTATTAATTTCACAAATGCAGTTGTATATTCCAACTGTATTTGTGTTGGATACAGGAAACAAAAAAGTTTAATCTGAAGGGAAAATAGTATACTATGTCCATGGACATCTCTACGTAATGGTCTATATAATGACGAAATAATGAACTTAGTTTCAGTATTCAGCACAGTTTAATGTTCCATTTAAATGTATGGATACTTCTCTTTAACATGCTCCTTGGGATAAGTGAACACACACACAATGTCATTATTCTACTGACTGAACAATGAAGCACAGAGCTGATTTGCAAATGTACTCTTTCAAGTTATCACATATGTAGACAGCATTTGTTGTTTTAATTTAACTGGAGTTAACAATTGGAATGGAATGGTTTGATGTAACATGAAAACCTTGTATTACCATGCTAAATAGGACTGTCAGCCTGCAGTAAAATGGAGAGAAAGAGACCAATTTGGGCGGCTGATTGTAAAGACTCGCAGTTCTTCAAAAGGTATGTTAAGCCAGATCATACTGTTGTATCTGTGTTTTTCTGTTGTTTCTTTTTTGAAAATGTAATTCTTGAATTACTATTCTTGTCTTTCTAGTGCTCGCCAAACGTCAGAAGAAAACTGGTCAGTCGCAGTTACCAAATATTTCTGCAGAACATGTTGCAGACAGCACAGAAGGTAAGCTCTCTTATCAGTGTCAACATTTTGCTACAGTTTGTGCTTTTTGTAGGTGTTGTGCATGTGGGTATGGGGCCGTATGTACCTGGCACATGTGTCACTTTGAGAGTAATACGATTTTAAATTAAGTACTACATGTATTGCAAAGAAAATTAAGTATTCGTATAGTGCTAAATGAACATGGAGAATAGGGATGCAATATTGAGTCAAAGGTCACAGTTTAGGTCAAATGTAGTAATGATGAATTCCCTCTATGTTTTGATATGCAGGCACATTCACCTCTGAGGTGCAACAGACCCACAATATGATTGGTAAGATTCTATATCAAAATAGTTATGCCACCATTTCCGTTATTTTTATTTAGATAATTGTATCCATTTAATAAACTCATACTTACTCACTTCAGTGTACATCACAATATATTTAGTTTAATTATAATTTGATAAATTGAACACTAATATATTTCTGCAAGACATTTTGCAAGTACATTCATAAAACTTAATTTTGAACAATTGTATTGTTCCTTAAAAATAATATAGGTGAACATGACATTACACCTTGCAATCTCACTCAATTACTTTGTTTATATGGACATGAATAACACGTTTATGAGGCAATATTGTGTTCACAATTATAAACGGGTTATTCATGTAAACGCAATCAATTTGAATAACCACCTGACATTTGAAGTTGTTTTGTGACTCTTGAGGCTTTCTTTACCATCTATTCTGTCTTGCTTACATCTGTTATCCTCATTTCCCAAGACCTTCATATACAGGAACTGCAAAAGATGCTTGATGCAGTTGAGGAGGATGTTGCCGGATGTTCAAATTCCACAGAAGCCTCATCTGGTCGAACATGGACAGTACGTCAGGCTTTATCTGATGAAAGATGGCGGAAAGCAAGACCTCAGCTTCTTGAAGCCATGCTTGAGGCAGGAAAGATCCCGAAGGGTCTTTGTCAACTGTGCAAAGCTAAAGATGCAGTCATTTGTTGCACAGACTGCCTTCCCCAAATGTGACATAACTGTACATCGGAAGTACAGTTTGCATAACAGATGCCTATTTGTAGGAGATAGTTACAAAGCAATTCCTCCCACTGATATTATCACTGAAGATGCTCGTGGTCAGCCATCACCGTGTGAAGAAGGTATATACTGTATAGACCTTTTTGAATAAAATTACTTTTCAATCCCATCATAATGTATGATATACCTGTACTTGCCCAGTAGAAGTAACCATTATCCCTTTATCTTTTACATAGTTCGTCTCCTGCCATTTTCTTTGCCCAGAAAGATTTGCAGCTGCAATGCAGACAATGTGTCATTGAGTGGTGGGCAAAAAGTAATCTTCATCAACATAAATGGTAACATATCTTTGAACATTTGTAAAAGTACAAATACATTTTACAACAGGTCGTTATGACCTCTCTGTTCCTCTGCTGACCTGTGAGAACTGCCACTGCCAGTGGACACCACAGATCAAAGATTTGATCTCAAATGGATACTGGCCTGGAACAATTGAATTCCACACAGTTTTTTCCATCGATCTTTTTGCCACATATGAAGATCTCAAAATCAGTGCACCTGGTGTGAGTAGACACGTTTTCATTCGAATGCTGGAAAGTCGCTCAGTTCGTGCTGGCAGGGTAATGCACATTTTGATACATTATACAAATTGTGTATTGTATTTTAGATTTGGCAGATTAAGTGAATTTGTGCAATCATTTGCAAAAGGACTTGGAGGAAAGATAAATAAATATTATACTTAATCCATGCTTTATAGTATTTGCATGTTGACATGTATCTAGCATTTTATTATGAATTCCTACTTATTAGGCTGGGATAACATCTGGTGACAATTTCCAAAGAAGTTTCTTGGAATGGACATATTTCCGGCACGAAATTGAGAAACTTCTTGGAGATGACCATTTCTCATGTCCTGCCTGTGGTGATGACATGGTCGCAGTGTCTCTGGACGGCAACAGAAAAATGTATCGCTTCAATCGTCAGGGGTAAGTAGCAAGAAAGCAACATGGACTATTATCTTTATATACTATATTCCCCAATCAAATGCTTATTTCTTCATAGGACGGTCGAATGCCCATACTTTGAAGGAACTTTCATTGCCAAAGACACAGATGTTGAAGGATTTGTGCAAAGGATTCGAGACAAAGTAAAACCTGTGAGTTTTACTGTGACTTGTCTCATATGTGCTAAAGTTATTGTTGTTTTGTAAGATGTAAAATGCATGAGATGTAATTTACTTTTTGGAATGTCTATTGTAATGCTTTTTTCAATAGGCACCTGGACGCCCATCCTGCGGTAAATCCAACTTCAAAGCAGGCAGGGAGGCTACCAGAAAGTCAGAGGCCAGACTGGACGAAGAGGGAATGATGACATCTGTTTGCAGACACTGCATTCTATTTAGTGGTAAAATAATGTATTTTAAAAGTGGGGTAGGTAAGTTTGAGAAACCGGCTTGAGATACACTTGTTGTTATATTCCATGGAATGCTCTTAACATCCCGATAGCAATGAATATCTGAAGTGCTTTGACAAAAAATCCATAAATAAATATCATCTGTGGAAGCTGTAGTACTGTAAAAAGCACGACCAATCATTTTAGCCGGCCCGGCTAAAATAACTGGATGGCCTACCTGCCTGTCAGCCTTCCATCTGTGCACAAACTTATCTCGTGCCCTCATTGGTCATGTGCGCGTTCGTGTGTGTTGGAGGAGGGGCTCTGTGAGGAAGTGGCAGATTTTTTCCGGCTGTGTATTTTCAAATTCTATCGCACTCGAGCCGGTTTCTCAAACGTACCTACCCCACCTTTAATTGAAAAGCCATTTACATCTTTTTTGTACTTACAAAAAGGCCATACTAAAATGGTCTTTAAACATTTGAGTACCAGTTATGATTCACAAGTAATTATGCACTTTCATGACAGTAATAACTTATCTTTGTATTTTTTAGAATATCCATTAATATAGTAATGAAATAAACCCTTTTCAAAGAAATCTATCTTTGTTTTGGTTGCAGGCCTCAACATGTTTTGTGGGGAAATCTTTGCCTACCCTCTCTACCTACAGCAAGATCTTGGAAAAGAACACAAGATTGAGTTTGTTTGCACTGACGTCATGTGTAAATACTACCCCTATATACAGAGGGTAGTTGAGTCCTTTCCAGAACTGCAGTATGTCCTGCAAATGCGGCCATTTCTGTCAGTGATGCATGCGAAAGGTCACTCGACAAAATGCGAGGTATAAATGTAATGTTTTTTATCGTTTTTGGTTAATAGGGTATTTTAAAGCTCCCATGTCATGCTTTTCCGGTTATTACCCGTCCCCTTGTGTGTTATGAAGGTTTTTATGCATGTAAACGGTGTGCAGAGTCAAAACCCTCAAAGTACACCCTGTAGCGAGTAAAACTCTAACACAGAAAATACCTCCCCAAAACGCCTCGTTGGAGATACGTCACTGCCCATTTGATTCTTCCGGGTACCGCATGATGTCATGCGGTACCCGGAACGAAATGGACCAATCCCGAAGAGCTATGGCCACACCAGCAGCGGCGTGTTCCTCCTCCAGAGGTTCGAAGAACCGGCATTTCACAGACGAAAGCTTCCAAAACATTGCCCAGTTTGAGGCCGGATATGCACAGCTTGTTTGGACCGTTTGGAGCAGGGGAAGATCTGGGTATACAACCTGTAAGTTTGCATTGTTATTTGTGTATTTATCAAACAAGACTGTTTAAATGTGTAAACTGTGTTGGACTGCTAAGCCATTGACACAGTGCTAACTGTGCTAACTAAGTTGCTAGAGTTTCCATATATCAACTCTAATATCAGCAGATGGCCTTGCATACATGTATCTCATAGCAGGAGAATGTCTGCATTCACACACAAAATACCTATTGACAGTATACTCCGGGTGATTTGCCGGTCAGTCGCGAAACGTAATTACATTATAGCTGGCGTAGCGATCTAACACACGGAGCTAGAGCTAGTTTTGGTCAGAAATTGTTTTTTGTGATGCTACGTTGCTAGCGTTTAAATATATCAACTACAATGTCAGCAGATGGCCTTACATGTTTGTCATGGCAGGAGAATGTCTGCAGTCACACACACGGAATACTCATACAGTATACTCCGGTTTACCGTACATTGTGACCGTACATATACTGCATGTAGCTAACGAGGCTAGCTGTATGCTAGCGCAAAACAATGTATTCATGCAAGTTACATTGTATGGTAGCAGAATACCCGTATACGATTGCAATTATAAACACGTTATTGCTAGCCTAATATGAACCACTAGCTTTTGTTCATAGTAGTTTTATTACACTGCATTATAGTTGCCTTTCCTCCAAGCTAACGTTCATATCGTGTTAGCTACCAAGGTAAACAAAGCTAGGTTAGCATATTAGCAGGCAAGCTGTTCATTACACAACTACTACTAACGAATCTAAAACAACTAAGTTTCTCTAATATTTTGTGATTTGCATTTGATTTCGTCCAGCCAGATCCTGGCGGACAAGCCATGACGGGGAAGGGATTCTACTACTACTGAGGGCTCGTGCTAAAAGGCACCGCACCGACTGTGCGCAGGCAAGAGGAGGAGGAATGGATGATATACCGTGTGTATATATGTATATTTATGTTCATTTTGTACATTTCTAAAAATAAAGTTTAATGGAAATACTTAGTAGGCCTATCCTTTCTTCCCTGAATTCATATATAGCAAACCATGATTTGATTTCTCATCAAACAGTAGTAGTTTATAACGGGTAAAAATAACTTACTCTTTGTTATGAGAGTAGCTCGTAGGCCACAACGGAAAGACAAGGAGACATACACGAGTTTACAAAACCACGGCACATTTATTGTGGTAAATGCAGAGATAGGTGGTTGAGAGGATCGCAGAGTTAGTCTTCCTGCAGCCGCTTTGGAGAGAGACTGGGGCCGTAGTGTCCGGAGGTGTCCGTGATCGTGCTGATTAGCCTCTTCAGCTCCACCCCATCGTAAGACAAAGGCCCTGGGGCCGTCACACTCTTCTATAACAACAGTTAAAAATATATATGTATATAAAATATACCGCTGTACCGACGCCATGATAAGACTGATGTTACGCTGAGAGCAGCCGGGAAAAGCACTGACATGGGCGCAGCCTCTCTGGTGGTTGACTAATCAGAACGAGTGGCCGAGCTGACCAATCGGAGCACACTAGGCTCACAGGGAGGGGGGGGCAAGAGCTCCAACGAGTCGTTTAGTGGAGAAAGTGAATACTGCTGAATACACATGCTTGACAGAGATGCTGTATGCGAAACCAATGTGAGTTTGGAAAATTGCACAGTATAAATCTATTTTAGTATACCTCAACAATGTAATTATGATCAGTGGAAATGGCCATGACATGGGCCCTTTAATGTCTAAACTGACATAATTCAATTTATTGTTGACTATTCTCAGGTGGAGTGGAGTGGTTGCAACCAGGAAGGGGCAGGTATGTTACAATGATATTCTTTCAGTCATAAAAAAAAAAAAAAAAAAAAGTACTAAGTTTCTGTTTCAAATTGCTCTAGGTTTGACAGTTGGAGAGGAAGTGGAGGCTGTCAATTCATACCTCTCTCGTGTGGCAACGACCACAAAATACATGTCCAAAGCAAGTGAGTAGTTGTTTTAACATCTTATTGTGGCTCAAGTATGTTTCAGGACGTACTGACATGATAACGATACATGCTCGTGGATGGAACTTGAGGAAGAAGCAGAACTTGCTCAGATACCTGTCTCAACGATATGTGAAGGTCATTTTGTCATGTAATTGAATATCTTTTTTCACAATATAAAATACAACAATGTGCATACGTTTTGGCTGCAACTCTTTTCTTAAACATAGACTAAATATATTCGGTTGCTCGATAACAGCTCAGTGAAAATGTTTGGACGGTCATGCACTGATGTCTGTAAAACTATTTTTGATGCTTTGATGTCC